TCATAGAGGAAGTAGCATGTGAGCTGGCCCTTAAAAGATAGGAAAGTTTTTAATAAACAGATGGATGTTCCTTAAAGGATGGAACAGCGATATATGTATTTCAGAAATCAGGAATGTTTTGGGCTAAATTACAAATTCCTTGGGAACTGAAGTCATTGTTAACTCCATTACACCCAGCACACCGCCTCGCACAGTGAAGCTACTTAATACGCATGTTGAAAAGATGAATGATATGAGAAAAATATTCAAATATTATTACCAAATGAAGATACCCGATTATACCATACCATTGCTACACAGTAAAAAGAGCCTGCTTTATCTCTCAACCTTGGGAGTCTCAGAACACAAACATGAAGTGAGGCCTCGCCTTATTCAGGTCCGTGGATAGAGAAGTTTTCACCTTTTCATCAAATTATCAGAGTGAAGACAAATGGTCAAAAAATTTCTAATAGGACGAAATTTAGACACACATGAATTTAATTATCTGAGCTAACATACACCAGGCACTCTATTTGGGGGATGGAGGAGCTGATCCAAGAGTTACTGAGTTTCCTGCACAAAAAAGCAATCAGAAATAGTGCTTTTCATTTCAACTGACAAGTTGAAATTATGCAGTTTAATCTGAACAGTGTATCTTCCTTTAACAAGAACATACCATTCAACATTGATCCCAAACCAAAGTTCTTTGTACCTGACCAAGTAACAAATGCACATAATTTTACTTCTGAAGCAGAATTATTTGTAACACTGGGAGCAAAAGTTATCTTCTTCTGCTGCTGAATCACTTGAATCCATTTGCAGAACTGTGACAAGCAAATCTTCAGAGGAACTCCTTCATCAACTTGAGCCTAAATATAATACCATAAAAACAAATTCAGATAGTAATAGGTTTAGAAATGGGCACATGAGTTTTTTAAATGGAAAGACTGGAAGTAAAAATCAGCCCCTTACAGCATATTGGGCCTTACTATCACAAACTATAAGTTGGGATGAATAAAACTTGCCATATGGCAAGATTATGACGACAAAACTAATTCCTCCACAATTTTCAGATGGAAGACAAGTTTTTGTTGTTTCATTTCCATAACAGTATTTGATATTAACTTCCTCCAAGCCTATTCCTTTTCTAATACACACACACCAATAAATGATGACATATATACATGCATGTATACACAGATAGTGTATGTGTGTGTACATGCGCACGTGCACACACTAAAAGGTCTTTGCACTAACAGGTAGAATGTACTAATAGATACTTGGGAAAAAGGACATTTGCCTTCACTTTCTAGTTTAATTTTAATATTTATGTCATACCTGTCTTATGCCTGTCAATTCAACACAAAATTTGGAAAGAATTGGATGTTCCTCAGGCTGGACATAGGTCTGGAATTCAGACTCAATCTCTCCAGTTAATGTATTTAGAAGGACCGCTGGAAACTCAACTAAAATAAATAATAATCAATATATATGTTAAAATAGAATTACTAAATTAGCATTGTAACTACCACAAATTAAAAAACACAACACTATTATTGTATTTCCAAGTAAGTTAGGATTGAAAGAATGGTGCAAGGTGATATGGTAACTATAATAGGCTCTATCACAGGTAAAAGTCCTGAGATCACATAATTTGTTCTCTTCAAAATAAAATTTTGACTATACTAATAGACTACAGCTAAGCATGAAGACAGAAAAAGTGGTGAGTGTATCCATTCACAGGATTATAGGATCACAGATTTAGAGTTAAAACAGACCTGGGAAGCCATTTAATCCAATTACCTCACTTTACAGAGGAAGAAACTGATTCCTCCTTCAGTAAATCATTTGCTCATTATGGAATATCAGTATTCCTGTATAAGTAATTGGCATGTAAGTGCAGAATTTTCTTTATTAATATGTTTAAGAATTAGTATAAGAATGATTTTAAAAATCTTTTATTTAAATCAGGTCAATTTTACAGCAAAACACCAAAACATAATATTTTACTTTGAAAAACAGCTCACATTTCTAGTGTTAGATTCTAAAGTTATTCATTATCAAGAACACACATTAAAGGTGCAAGTCACATACACAACATTTATTAAGTTTTATTTCCTCTACAAAATATAAACTCAAATTAATCTAATTTTCAACTTTAATTAAACCCAGCTTTTAACATATTATTTCAAACTTACTTATCTCCTGGCTGTAGTGGCGTTTCCCATCATTCCAGCATGTTGACTCAAAATCAATGATAATTAAGTAGTCAAATAATTGCTCTGCAACAGGCCAAATTATGGTTATGTTAGCAGTACTTAAAATGCAGTGCACTACAAAATAAGATGAAATTAAGCAAACAACTTACTTGACCTGATTCTACCCAGATTTTCCTTATTAGCTGGACTGATGGACTTCCTCCTAATTAATCCAAGTTGCCTAAAAAATGTAGATCAAAGATAATCATTAAAGGAGTATTAAAGGATCTTTCTTTGGTTACACATTGTGAAAATGAACAGCAGAGGGAATACTACTGTGCTGTAAGAAATGATAAGCAGAGTGATTTTAGAAATACATGGAAAGACTTGCATGAAATAATGAAGAGTGAAATGAGCAGAACCATAGCTATTTCTGGGGCTCCTTTACCACAAAATTGCTGTGTGTAATCCTTATCAAAACAGGCTTGAACAGAAGGCAAAATTATCATTAATGTAGTATGGTCTGTTATTAAGACTAAGAAGTCAGGAGACTGGATTCTTCTTGTGACAACTTCTCTACAAGTCTCATTTTCCTCAATTGCAAAATGAGGCTAACGGCTGCAGTAATGTGAAATGGTAATGGAAAGAGAGCCCTGGACTTAGAATTGTACATGCTTCAGAAAACTGACATAATCATCTATCAGAGGCATAAAGTGTGATCCCCTGCACAAAACTTTTTATACCCTGCCATTTAAGGTCCTCTACAATCTGGTCCTCACCTACCTTTACATTATCATTTCACATATCTCTTTAACACAGTCTATAATTCAGTCAATTTGGACAATTAAGCTCTTCCCCAAACTTAACATGCCATCTTCCACCTCTACATACTCACCTAGGCTAGGCCCATGTTTGGAATTTCTCATCACCTCTGCCTTTCAGAATCCTTACTTTTCTTCAAGGCTCAGATCAGAAGCCAACTTCTCCAAAAAGGCTTCCTTAATCCCCATTCCCACCCCTTCCTCAAATATTCTTAGGGCACTTTGTCTGTTTCTCTTCTTTAATCCTATCACTCTTAACCCTGCAGTACAACTATCTGTATACATGTCATATTCCCCAGTTACTCCAAACAGAATCTAAACTTTCTGAAATTAGAAACTATAATTTTTGTTGTATCCCTAGTATCCTACCACACTGTGTCAAACTCAAAATATGTATCTGAAGTCAAATATGAACCACTACAGAAGTACACTATTATTCTTGCCTTTATATGTGAGTATTTCATCCAGTTAAGTACTGGGTGATGTTATGTGGGGGGAAAATAGGAACCACAATCACTTTTCAACATTTTGATGTATTAACAATTTAGGGATCCCCACCCCCAACCATCTGGTGGCCTAATAATAGAAAGTCTCAAAATGCTATTGAAGAAACATAAAATAATAAAATATGCAAGGACCTCTCTCTCACAATTCGACCCAAACATTTTCACTGCCTGGGATGCCCTCTCTCCCTCCTCATCTTTGCTTCTCTGCCTTCCTTCAAGTCTCAACTAAAATCCCCCACAAGCTTTAATTCTAGCGTCTTTGTTAGTTATCTCCAATTTATCCTGTCTATAACTTGTTTTTACATAGTTGTCTGCATATTGTCTCCTTCACTAGACCCTGAACTCTTTGAAAGCAGGGGCTGTCTTTTGGCTTTCCTTGTATCCCCAGAGCTTAGCGTAGTGTCTTCTCCCCACCCCCAACCAGGCACCTAAGGTTAAGTGACTTGCCCAGGGTCACACAGCTAGTGTCAAGTGTCTGAGGCCACATTTGAATTCAGGTCCTCGTGACTCCCAAGCTGGTGTTCTATCCACTTTGCTAGGATAGTGCCTAGCACACAGTAGGGGATTAATAAATGTCTGACTGGAGTCAGAAAAACTAGTTCAAATCCAGCCTCAGGCACTTATTAGCTGAGTGACCTTGGGCAAGTCACTTCAGCTCTTTCTGACTTAATTTCCCAATTTGTAAAATAGAGCTAACAATATCTATCTTCACGGCTGTTGTGAGGATAAAACGATGGTATTTGTAAAGCACTTTGCAAACGTTAAAGTACCTTACAAAGTGCAGGAGGGGAGGGCACATAACATCACTTTGAAGTTTACAAAGCGTTTTATGTCTCGCTTCATCCTCACATCAAGCCGGTGAGGTACGTGCGGTTTTTCCCGTTCTACAGACGACCAAACTGAGGCTGAGAGGTCCAAGATCCGTCCCAGGTCAGTCACAGTTAGTAAGTCTCTGAGACAGGATTCGAACCGAGGTCTTCCTTACTCTCGAGTCCAGAAAAACATAGACGCACCCCTGGCCTTGCCCCGACCTTCTGGCGCTCTGGCAACATCCCTCCTTCCTTCGGGGACCAAGCCGGACCTGCTCGAATTCAGCCAGAGACCCCCCAAGAGCGCCAGACGAAGACCCCGAAAACGCTCTCCACAGGTACGCGCATGCGCCCAGACAGCGTACTCAAGGAAGCCCGAGGGTTCCCAAAGAGCCCTCCCTCCACCCCAAGGTTCGTGCGCGCGCAGACGCACGACACGGACACACACGCATACGCCACATGCACACAACTATACCGGGCCAGCTGCTTGGTGGCCATTGCCTCCGCAGCGTTTTCGGCTCTCCACCCCCAGTTGGCGCACCTCGGAAGCCGACAAGAAGGAACTTCCCCTCCTTTCGAACTTCCCGCGGCCTCTGATGTCGTCATTTCCGCCAGGCTTTGCTCGTCCCTCGCCCCCTCGCGGAAGCTTCGACCAATCGATGTTTTCCGCTCCTCCATTGGCCAGGCCTTGGGAAATTCCTTCGAGGTTTTAGTTTGGGGCCGCGGCGCGGGCTGCGTGCTGGCGCGTGGACCGGTAGCCCACCGAGGAGGTGAGGGGGGAGGGGAACCTGTAGAAGGGGAGAGTGGCGGGGCGGGGGCGGCTGGGGGGGCATTCCGGGGGGAGGGGGAGGGAGGGGAACCTACTGCACCCAAGGCCTCCTCTGGGAAGGGACCCTAATGCAGGTCCAGGAGAAGTGAGGAGGGAAGGGACGAGGAGGATGTGGGGCTCCGGGCCCCGACCCCTCCTTCCGTCCGCGGACGTCTTCAGCTCCTTCGGGCGCTTCCTCGTCCACCCCCCGCCCCGCCCCCACAAATGCTGCTACATCCCGTCCCACTGCCTTGTATTCTGCAGTTTTGTATACGTTTGTATAGATTGACTTTGTTGTATTTATTTATAATTATGTTGTCTGTATTTTATGGCAGTCAAGAAGCATTTATTAGTCGCTTACTGTGTGCTAGGCACTGTGCTAAGTTCCGGGGATGCAAAAAGAGGGAAAAGACAGCCCCTGCCCTTAAGGAGCTCACAGCCTAAATGGGTATTTGTTTCCTTATTAGACTTAGAATAATGATAGCACACGTATTAAGGTACACATGTTATCATTATTATGTTTATATTATGTAACATATATTCATATGTAAATACATGTGCTGTTATTCAAATGAGGAAGATATGTGTATATATACACACATATATATACATGTGCAGTGTAAGGTTTGCAGAAGGCTTTATGTTATCTTATTTTACCCTCATCACCACCTTTCGAGGTGGGTGTGATTATCATACCCATTTTTCAGATGAGAAAACTGAAGCAGAGATGGTTACATGACTTATCCAGAGTCACACAGCTAAGTAAATGTCTGAGGCTGGATTTGAACTCAGGACTACAGGCCTGACACTGTACTACAGGACCCAGTTACTAAGACCAGCAGCAGCAGCTAGTATTTTTACTAGCCACTATTTATTTCCCCTTTTTTTATTATGCTAGCTGCTATTTATAATAGCTGCTCCACTATTTGTTTATTTAGTATTTATATGTTTGGGAAGTTGCCCAAAAGTCTCAGTGCAGTTTTAAACTGTTACAGTTCAAAGTAGATGTGTGAGACCCTAAGTAAGACACTTTAGCTTTTTCTGACTCAGTTTCCTCATTTGAAAAATGGTGCTAATAATAGCACCTATCTCCCTGAGTTTTTGTGAAGATAAAATGATATAATATTTACAAAGCACTTTGCAAACCTTAGATAGTGCTGTATAAATGCTAGCTATTTATAGAAGGTGGATGGAGGAAGGCTGATGATAATATATAGCTTTAAGGTTTACAAAGCATTTTATGTATGTCAGTCTCATTTAATCCTAACATCCACCCAGACAGATTATCTCCTTTTATAGATAAGGAAAGTAAGGTTCAGGGACTGGTCCCCAGTCACACAACTGGAAAACCTCTGAGACAGGACTCCAACTAAGATGTTTCTGACTGCAAGTCCAGGAATATGCAGATGCGCCACTGACCCGTTTAGTCTGTTTTAATTGGTAGAGCTTAAAACTGTGATAGGACTTTCTGGAACAGCTATAACTCTTTAAGGTTTGCAGTGTACTTTCCATCTATCATCTTATTTGGTCTTCACAACAACCTTGTGAATTAGGTGCTATTATCCCCCATTTTGCATGTGAGGAAACAGGTTGAGAGAGCAGTTGTAACAGCTTGAATTTATACAGCACTTAAAAGTTTGAAAAGAATTTTAGAAAATGTTCTGACATTTGATCCTCACAGCTACCTTCTGAGTTTTGTGCTGTTATTGTCCTTTTTTTTTTTTATAACATATGGGGAGACTGAGGTAGAGAAGAGCTAAGTAGCCTCGCCAGGATTCCACAGCTGCTGAGGCAGGATTCTAGTTCAGTTCTAACCGAATATCCACTAATGAGAATTCTCTGTATTTGTATCCCTATAGCACATAGCATAGCACGGTGCTTTTTTTTTTTTAAATATTAGGTGCCAAGAATGCCCTCAAGGAAATTAACTACATCAAACATGGAGGGAAGGAGGATGGAGGTGGGGCAGGGTACAAATTATAAGGAAATGCAAGAATAATTAAAGAGGGAGAAATTACTAAGAACTAACGAGTTTTTGAAAGGCTTCTAGCTGAAGGTGACAGGTAAGGTAGCTTTGGATTTTAAAAGGCTGAATCCAAGATGGGGTAGCATTCTAAGCATAAGGAGCAGCCTATGCAGTGAGTCCATCAACAAATATTTATTAATCACTTCAGTATTCCGGGCACTGGGGATAGAAGTACAAAGAATGAAGTAATCCTGCTTCAAAATGAGCTTCCATTCTGATGAGGGAGACAATACTAAGTACCTAAAAGTTATATGTGGTAAATGGAAAGAAATCTCAGAGGGGAAGGCTTTTAGCTCGAATGCGAAGTGACTTACCTGACTTGAAGTCACACAGCTAGTAAATGATGAATCTAAGAGCAGGGTCCAATCTAGGCATCCTGATTCTGTCTACTGACACCATCTTGTGACCCTGGCATAGTAGACAGTTTACCAAAGACTAGAGACTGGAAATGGCATGGGCAAATGGCACATATTCCCGTATGTGAAATGAGCCTGGAAAGGTAGCTGGAGCCCGGAAGGGGATGGCTTTAAATGCGAGCTTGGGGGATCGCCTTTTCTTTCAAAGGCAAAGGGGAGCCACAGAAGCTTGTTGGGCAACAAAGTGATATTGCTAGACCTTTGTTTTAGTAAGATTATTGATGGTTATAGCTTGGTGGAATATGGGTTGCAGAAGGGAGAGTGGGAGTGGGGAGTTAGGAGGCTGTTGCAATAGACCAACTAAGAAAACCACTGGTTCTGGAGTCAGGATTTGAATTTCAATCTTGCCTCTCACATTTTCTATCTGTGTGTCCTTGGGCTAGCCCTTGACATCCCTTCCAGGCTCTAGAACAGGATTTCCTGACCTTTTTGTGTCTTGGTCCCTTTTGGCAGTCTGATAAAGCCTGTGAACTTCTTAAAATAATTTTTAAAAATTTCTTAGTTGAAAAGAATGCTCAATTTCAGTTAAAGGTTAGTGAAAATAAACATGCTTTCTCCCCCCCCCCCATTCCAGTTCATGGACTCCCTGAAATCTAACCAGTGACCCGTTGGGAGTCATTGTACCCTAAGTTAAGGACCCTTGTTATCATTGTGGAAAATGTCTTCTCATGCATTTTGATTTGACACCTTCATTAAGGGTCTATTATGTGCAGTATGGCAAGGTAATGGGACTGAAGTTGGGTGGTGGCTATGGGAGTGAAAGAATGAAAAAGTATTAAGGGCTACTATGTACCAAAAAGCTGCTAAGCACTGAGGATACAATTACAAAACTGAAGATGTTGCAGTTTCATAGCGTGTCAAGGTGGCACCATCTCAAAGAATTCAGAGTCAGACTACGTCTAATCTAAGTACAGGCATTTATTGAGGATTGACACCCCTCAGAAGCAGGCTAGGTTCCAAGAGGAACCAGCAACTTAGTAAGACAACACAGGAAAATTTATAGTGCAATGATGCTGATTACACAACAGAAATTATGAATATTAAAAAGGCAGGAGGGATTTGTTAAGGGATTAGGTAACAGGAAGGGTTCCCTTCTATGGTTGGGTGATCAAATGCCCTGGTGGTGCTGCTTTCTGATTGGCTAGCTATTGTGGTCCTGTCTGGTCAAGATGGGATAGTTAGGTATTGTGGTCCTGTCTTCGGCTAAGTGGATGGTATGGTTGTGGTTGGGTACAAGGACACACCTGTTCAAATATGTGAATTAAATCTAGGGACAGTAGCTAGCTAGGGGCAGTGGTTATATTGAGTCTGGGGGCCTGAGGTGTGCTTAAAGCCAGATTGTGTGGTTAAAATAGGACAGGCCTGCTGTTTAGTGGAGCCCATAAGGAAGTTACAATATTGGGGCTGGAGGCAGCTTTAGTAGGATTCCATCAAAGACAGTCTTTGCCCTTACATTGGTGACAAGACAAATAGAGAAGTGGTGGCCAGGGTGGGGCATCTTGGTTGGAAGCGACCAGAATAGTGAGGGGACTAGACTGATAATGTTGTACCATAGGAAGAGTGCTAGATTTGCAGTTAGAGATCTTGGGTTCAAATCCTAACTCTGCCAGGACAAGTCATTAAATTTCTGAGTCTCATTTTCTCATCATTAAAAATAAGAGATTTGGGGGCGGAGGCAAGATGGGGGAGTGAAAACAGTGACTTGCTTGAGCTCTCCCCCAAACCCCTCCAAATACCTATAAAAAATGGCTCTGAATAAATTCTAAGGCAGCAGAGCCCACAAAAAGACAGAGTGAAACAAATTTCCAGCCCAAGACAGCCTGGATGGTTGATCAGAAGGGTATATTGTGCCCGGCTGGTAGAGGAGCACAGTGTGGTGTGGGCACACAGGTCTTAGCAAACCTGGAGCAGGCCTCGTAGGCAGCTGTGGCGGTTTCCAGACTTCTCAACTCATAAACGCCAAAGACAACTTAGAAGGTCAATGGGAAAAGTCTGTTGTGGTGCTGAGAGAGAAGCTCGGGGTCCTGACTTTGGCCCCCAGGGCGGCAGCTGCCTCCTGAACTTCTGGCCCACAGACTGAGGGGGAATCAAGTGGCTGATCAGAGGGGTTTACAGGGATCTCTCTGCCAGTGCTGAGGCAGGATTCTCTTGCTTTGCCTGTGCTTGGATCTTGCCCGTCACAGTTCTAGTCGGTGGTGTTAGGGCAGGGAGGAGCTCTGGTGTGGTGGAGCTTGTAGTGGCTGGGGAGAAAAAATCTTCCTCACACTTCCAAGAGAAAAAAGAGTGCTTGTGGTCAGTCACTCATAGACCAGAGCACAGCCAGGAAAAGATTAAACACCTCGCCCCTTATCATATCACCTTGAAAGAACTGAAAATTTACAGGTACCTACAAGTATCTCTGAAAACAGCTGTACAAACCCCCGAAGCTTGGGACAGTACATTCTCCTCATTGGAAGCAGACTCTTACCTTAACAAAGAGTTTAAAACTCAAGTAGTTGGCTGGGATCATGAGCAAACCTTGCAAAAAGAGTCAGACTGTATTATCTTAGTTTGGTGACAAAGAAGATCAAAACATATAACCAGAAGAAGACAACAAAGTCAAAGCTCCTACATCCAAAGCCTCCAAGAAAAATATGAATCAGTCCCAGGCCTTGGAAGAGCTCAAAAGGGATTTTGAGAAGCAAGTAAGGGAAGCAGAGGAAACACTGAGAGTAACGCAAGAAAATCATGAAAAACAAGTCAACAGCTTGCTAAAGGAGACCCAAAAAAATACTGAAGAAAGTAACACCTTAAAAAATAGCCTAACCCAAATGGCAAAAGAGGTCCAAAAAGCCAATGAGGAGAAGAATGCCCTAAAAAGCAAAATTGGCCAAGTGGAGAAGGAAGTCCAAAAGATTACTGAAGAAAATACTTCCTTAAAAATTAGAATAGAACGATTGGAAGCTAGTGACTTTATGAGAAATCAAGACACTGTAAAACAAATCCAAAAGAATGAAAAATTAGAAAACAATGTGAAATATCTCATTGGAAAAACAACTGACCTGGAAAATAGATCCAGGAGAGAGAATTTAAAAATTATTGGACTATCTGAAAGCCATGATCAAAAAAAGAGCCTAGACATCATCTTTCAAGAAATTATCAGGGAAAACTGCCCTGATATATTAGAACCAGAGGGCAAAATAGAAATGGAAAGAATCCACTGATCTCCTTCTGAAAGAGATCCCCAAAGGAAAACTAGGAATATTGTAGCCAAATTCCAGAGTTCCCAGGTCAAGGAGAAAATATTGCAAGCAGCCAGAAAAAAACAATTCAAGTATTGTGGAAACACAATCAGGATAACACAAGATTTAGCAGCTTCTACATTAAGGGACTGCAGGGCATGGAATATAATATTCCGGAGGGCAAAGGAGATAGGATTACAACCAAGAATACCTACCTGGGAAAGAGAAATCATAAGAGACCTACTAAGGTTGAACCGTTTACATTCCTGAATGGAAAGATGATATTTATAACTCATGAGATCTTTATCAGTATTGGGGTAGTTGGAGGGAAAAAATTACATGTATGTATAGATAGATAGATAGATTAGATAGAGGGAGGGCACAGGGTGAGTTGAAGATGAAGGGGTCATATCTGGAGAATAAAATTAAGGGGTGAGAAAGGATTATACTAGGAGGAGAAAGGGAGAGGTAGAATGGGGTAAATTATCTCACACAAAACAGACAAGAAAGGCTCTTACAGTGGAGGGGAAATGGGGGAAGGTGAGTGGGAATGAGGGAATCTTATTCTCATAGGATTTGGCTTAAGGAGGGAATAACATACATGCTCAATTGGGTATGGAAATCTGTCTTACCCTACAGGAAAATGGGGGAGGGGAAGGGGACAAGAGAGCAGGGAGATGATACAGAGGAGGGCAGATTGGGAAAGGGGTAATCAGAAGCAAATACTTCTGAGGGGGGACAGGGTCAAAAGAAAGAATAGAATAAATGGGAGGGCAGGATAGGATTAAGGGAAAGAGTTAGTTTTTCACATGTTTTTGCATAACTGCACGTGTATGGCCTGTATTGAGTTGCTTGCCTTTTCAGTGAGGGTGGGGAGGGAGGAAGGGAGAAAATTTGAAACCCAAAGTTTTAAAAACATGTGTTTAAAAAAAAATGTTTTCACATGCAACTGGGAAATAAGAAATACAGGAAATGGGGTACAGAAATCTATCCTGCCCTACAGGAAAATAGGAGAAGGGGATGGGGGTGGGGAGAGATAGAAGGGAGGGCAGACTAGGGGAAGGGATATTCAGAATGCATGCCATCTTGGGGTGAGGGGAGGGGCGAAATGGGGTGAAAATTTGGAATTCAAAATTTTGTGGAAGTAAATGTTGAAAACTAAAAATAAATAAATTTATACAAAAAAATTAAAAAAAAATTTTTTTTAAAAAGTGGGGAAAAAAAATAAGAGACTTGGATTAGATGACCTCTGCAGTTCTATTTAAATCTTTGAACCTAAGCAAATTGAAGGAGGAGGATTGCTACCGCTTTCTCATATTCCAACCCCACTGCAATCCTCTTATCATTGTTTTTAATTGAAAATTATTATGGGACATAAAGTTGGGAAATAGAGACAGGCTGAGCTGGATCTCTCCCAGTGTTATATGGGGAAAGTTTTCATTCCCCCTCTGTGGTGCAGAAGCATCTGCTCAAGGCTGTGTAGGGCACAGAACTACAGAGTTTTAGAGGTAAAAGAAGCCTTATCACCTTAGTGCACCCCACTCCAACTTAACACAGCAAGTGATGATCAGAGAAAGCTTTATGGTATACAGATCTGTGTTTTAACAATACAGAAGAAATGAAGAAATCCACATTTTACTGCACCAAGGGGGCTACTCACATAACCTTGAAATAAGACTGACCTAGGCCACCCCCTAAGCCATTGCACCATTTGTTGGGCATTTGGGGGAGGGAAGGGAGAAGGGTGGTTGTACTACTGAAGAAGCCTGGCTTAGTCTGTAGACATGGGTCTTAAGAATCACAAAGGATTCTGATGTAGATTATGATCTGTTGCCAGAGGGAAAAGTATCACCGCAAAGAAGAATGGATGCAGCCCTAGATGGGAAAAGCAAAAAGAGGAAGCAGATACAAAATAAGCTTTTTAGAGGTTCTGGGGAAGGTACAGCCAGTGGGGATCCAGATGATGAAGACAGTCAGCCTAAGTGGAAGGTAAGTACTACTAACCACTATCTTGAGGCCATCACAGCTATGAGCTTGTTGTTTACCTGAGTCACTGTAAGTTGAAGGATAATATCATAAATAGGTTCCACAGAATCCTATTGCAAGAACCCAAGGTGATGTGGAAATGAACTCCACAGTGGTGACTTGATGGGTAACTCATTGAAGTATACATATTATATAGTTAGGGAGAATATGGCACTATGTAGTAATAATGACAGTATATAAATATTAAGTACCAACTATTCAGTGGAAGCAACTCCCCCCACTGTGTATAAACTGTTCTCTTCCCAACCTATTTATGACTTCCAGAAATACTTTTACCAAATGAGCTGAAGAACAAGCCTTGCAATGTCATGAGATAAATGAAAGAAACACTTAGTTGGTGGGTATATTCTTATGTAGTTTGAGGCCTTCACTCTGGAGATACTGGTTTAATGTTTATGTCTGTGTTACCATAGTAAACAAATTCTTTATGGGCATGGGTTATGCATAGGTTTAGAACTGGAAGGAAGGGACCATAAAGGGCATCTTGTCCGAACTTAAAAGACTTGCCCCTTGTCATGCATATACTAAATTGCAGGGCCAAGAATCAAATCCAAAAGCCCCGAATCCAAATCTACTACTGTATCTGTCATGCTGCCTCTCCATTTATGTAGCCTCTAGTGTAGCATAGTGGAAGGAAGGAAACCAGGATTTATTAAGTGCTTACTGTGAGCCAGGCATCGTGTTAAGCATTTTACAAATATCTCATTTCATCCTCACAACCATCCCTATTTTATTATTGAGGAAACTGAGGCAGTCAGATGTAAGTGACTTGTTGATGGTCACACAGGTAGTAAGGGTCTGAGGCTGGATTTGAACTCAGATCTTTTCTGATTCAAGCCTAGTACTCTACTCTGCCACCTGGATACCTCTTTTCAGCCAAACAGAAAGCTGTTTGGACACCTGTTGATAGGATCCAAACATAGATTATTATTTTGTTTTTATTTTTGAAACATTATTTACCTTGCTTTTCATCTAAACATATTGATGATTATGAGTGACTGTTTCCCATCTTTGTCTTTTCAGAAAGCCCGTTTATCCACCAAGTTATTTGTTAAGAACTGTGAAATAAGCCATGACCAGTTACGTCAACTGCTGAAGTCTGCAGTGTTGGGAAAACAACACAAATCCACTGAACAAGGGGTTCCTAACCTGGGGTGAGTGAACTTGGATTTTATGTGTGTATTATATATAAATGTATTACAATGTAATTGGTTTCCTTTGTTATTATATTTTTTAAATTTTTATGCATTTAAAAATATTATTCTGAGAAGGGTTCCATAAGCTTCACTCAGCCAGAGGGATCTATGACACAAAAAAAGATTAAGAACTCCTGAGCTGAGCCAGGGTGTGAAATGAGTTGTGGCAAAGCTGTCATTAGTATGCATATATATCTTTCTATTGGCATGTGCAGAATAAAAGTGGAACAGTTTTTTGATTGACATGTGAAGGTGGCCCTTCAAAGCACACATGTATTTTCCCACTTAAGGGAGGACTGCACATCAGTAGAAGGGAAGCAGGACAGAGGACCAGCTCCCTGCATAGAAAAGGAAACCCCATTCTCCCATAGTCAGTCATTTTAAAAAGAAAGCTGGGTTCCAGTTTAAAGTGCCAGGCCAGGGGAGTATTGGATTTGATACATAGAATTTCACTTTTTCCAGATTGCTTGGCTTGTGACCATTCAGCACAGCTCATTGATGTTTATTTGAACTCTGTGGTGACAGCTGGCCTCATCACCCATGTGAGACAGCAGTGAATATCTGTTAGCTCTTGCTAATTGCTCTTCTGCACTCCTCCTCCTCACTGTGTATTTGAAGCTAACTTTGGGGTCTTGCTGTTGCTTTGATTTCTCAACAGCTGGTGCCATCTTTCTCACCCAAAGCATCTGAACAGTGTGGTGGTTATTGTTCTTCAGGAAGTGAGTCAGCTGCACTTCTACAAGTTCTATTTGCAGTTCAAACATCTCCGAAAGGCATTCAGATATGTAAGTTGAGAAAGCCTTGTGTAGCAGTCCAAACCAAGCCTTCCTGCTTTGTCCCTGATATGCTGTCTCAAAAAGTACCTTTCTTCCTACGTCCTGAAGAACCCATTCTGTTTTAGTGACTGTTCCAGTGGCCAGGTCTGGATAGCTCAGGGCTAGACTTATAGACAGACTATATCACTGACTTGCTTTCTCATTTAGCTTCCCTGTTTCCTTTCTTGTAAAATGGGAGTACTACCACCAGCTTGATTTATCTAGGATGAGGATTAAATGAGATACTAGATTGAAAAGTGCAGTGCCCTCTACAGAAGCAGAGTGGCTTGTTAGGCTGTGTTCACCAAATTGTGCTCTAGTACGAGTTCATAGTGGCTTTTGTTGACTGTCTTCTTCCTTTATTGGACTGTCTGAGGACAAAGAAATGTTTAAGGATTCATGATAAAGAGGAAGGAATTTGAGTGAGTAATTTTTGAAAGGTGAGAAAGAAGCAAAAAAGGTGTGTGGTGGAGTGGGGAATAAAGAAATAAGTGAACATTTTAATTAGATAGTAAGCTCAGGGAGGGCAGGAACAATGCCTTATACTTCTTTGTGTACCTCAAAGCATCTAACATTGTGCTTAGAGTGTACAGGACACTAGGATTAACTTGATGGGTGAATGAATGAATGAATGTGAATGGGTGAACTGGGAAGCTGCCTGAGAAAAGCAGCATAATTTGCCTAGGCACAGGCAAATACATGTATTGCCCTTTCCTCTCTATTTCAGACACCTGGCTGTGGAGAATCCTACTAGAGACTACTATTCCAGGGACTGCACAGGTCACTCTGTATGTGACATTTTAGGTGTTTAAACTCTATAAAAGGGCTGTCTCCACATGTAGCCTGTATTGAATCATTGTGTGAGGTTTTCCCATCATTATATATCAATTGATTTTGGGACAAAAACAAAACAGTCTTTGACCTAAAGGAATTTAAATTTTCAGTACATACATAGCTAAGTCAATTAAAAATAATATACAAAATTTTTTTTAATAAAATCAATTTATTTTGGGACTGTTGTGTAGTAATATACAATGTGAAAAGGCTGAACCTAATTAAATGGTGATTGTCCAAACTCCTAGTTCGTACTAAGCTTTGCTCTCCCAAACTAAAACCTTCCTTTAAGGAGAAGTTTTTACACATCTTTATATGTGTAAACAAAATACATATGAGATAAAGCCTGGTTAATCCATTAAAACACAGCTTAGGCCCTTGTCACCTCTCCTTTGTGCTGTGTAGTAACCTTCTCAGTGTTCTTCCTGCCTGCAGTCATTTCCCTTGCCCATCCATCACACAGCTGGTGAAATACTTTTCCTGAAGCACAGGTATCTGGTCATGTCCCTCACTGCCCTGCTCAGAAACCTTGAGTGTATCCCAGCTGCCTAAGGTATAGAATGCAAAATGTAGAGCTAGCTTTTTAAGACCCTCCATAATCTGATGCCTCTTTATCATTCAAGCCTTTTTGTTTTTCATACTACCCCACCCTCTCATGCATTCAATGTTCTGGCCAAACTGTTGCTAGCTATTTTTCCCAGTCTCTCCATGTTGTTTTCTGCCTCTCCATTGGCCCAGAATGTATATATTTCTCCCTTCATTTCAACTTATTGACAACCTACTCTCTCCTTCTTGTCCTAGTTTAGGTGCCATCTATTTCACCCTCTTCCCTGATTTCCTTCAGAGAGAAGTGATCTTTTTTTTCCTCCAATTTTCTTAGAACACTTTCTCTAAATGTTTTCCTTTGCTTTATTGTAATCTATCTTGTATCATGCCTATTTGGATATCTTTTCTGTCCCCCCTTTGATCGTTAAGTATCCTTGAGGCCAGGGACTACATCTTGTTTTGTTTTTGTCTCCCCAGTGCCTAGCATGCTGCCTGGCACCTAGTTCCATATTAATAAATGTTTGTTCAGTTGAAACTAAGACAATTGATACACAGATCCTTATCAAAATACTCATAGGTTGCTAAGCAGAGAATTCCTGGCTCAATTAGACTGAAGTGCCCCCAAACAAGTCAGATCCAAGGAAGAATGCATGAATACTGAGAACCTAGGAATTCAGATGTTTAAAAACTGCCTAATTTTTACAAACATTTTATTTGGGTGGTATTATTTCATTACCTTTTCAGGGGTGTTAGTGAAAATCTGTTCCTGTTTACTCACTGTTTGTACAGAGATTCTGTTTGCCGGCTCCATCAGCCAATTTTCTTGCAGACCTTATTGGGGAACAGCCTAATGGAAATAAAGAAGAAGAAAGAATCCTGCCTACACCCAGTAGCCTGCAAGGTAGAGATATAAATCTTTTTGTTTTTGTTTTTTGTTTGTTTTTTTAAAATATAAATGTATTTATTTTTAATTTTGAACATTCACTTCTACTAGTTTTTGAGTTCCGAATTTTTGCCCCATCACCCCTCCCCCCACCCCAAGATGGCATGCATTCTGAATATCCCTTCCCCTAGTCTGTCCTCTCTTCTATGTCTCCCCCCCTTCTCTTATCCCCTTCCCCTTCTATTTTCCTGTAGGGCAGGATAGACTTCTGTACCCCATCTCTTGTATTTCTTATTTCCCAGTAGCATGTGAAAACATTTTTTTAAACATATGTTTTTAAAACTTTAGGTTTCAAATTTTCTCTCTTCCTCCCTCCCCACCCACCCTCATTGAAAAGGCAAGCAACTCAATATAGGTTATACATGTGCAGTTATGCAAAACACTTCCACAGTAGACATGTTGTGAAAAACTAACTCTATTTCCCTTAATCCTATCCTGCCCTTCCATTTATTCTCTTCTTTTGATGCTGTCCCTCCTCAGAAGTATTTACTTCTGATTACCCCCTTTCCCAATCTGCCCTCCTCTCTATCATCCCCTGCTCTCTTGTCCCCTTCTCCCCCTATTTTCCTGTAGGGTAAGACAGATTTCCATAACCCAATTGAATGTGTATGTTATTCCCTCCTTAAGCCAAATCCTATGAGAATAAGATTCACTCATTCCCTCTCACCTTCCCCTGCTTCCCCTCCACTGTAAGAGACTTTTCTGGGGTTTTTTTTGTGAGATAATTTACCCCATTCTACCTCTCTCTTTCTTCTTCTCTGAGTATCATCCTCTCTCGTCCCTTAATTTTATTCTCCAGATATGAACCCTTAATCTTCAATTCACTCTGTGCCCTCTATCTATCTATCTATCTATCTATCTATACATACATAGAATTTTTTTCCTCCAACTACCCTAATACTGACAAAGATATCATGAGTTATAAATATCATCTTTTCATGCAGGAATGTAAACAGTTAAGTCTTAATAAGTCTCTTATGATTTCTCTTTCCTGTTTACCTCTTCATGTTCCACTTGAGTCTTGTATTTGAAAGTCAGATTTTCTATTCAGCTCTGGTCTTTTCATCAGGAATGCTTCAAAGTCCTCTGTTTCACTGAATGACCGTTTTTTCCCCTGAAGGATTATACTTAGTTTTGCTGGGTAGGTGATTCTTGGTTGTAATCCTGTCTCCTTTGCTGTCTGGAATATTATATTCCATACCCTGCAGTCCTTTAACGTAGGTGCTGCTAAATCTTGTGTTATCCTGATTGTGTTTCCACAGTACTTGAATTGTTCCCTTCTGGCAGCTTGTAATATTTTAGAGATATAAATCTTGTCAATGATTTGCTCATTCGAAAGGATGTTATGAATATATTTGTGTTAAACATACACATAGAAAAATAACAATTCTATGAACTAAGAATATTTCAAACAATTTGTAAATGACATTTTACCTAATAATCTCCTCCTACTGTCTCTGGGACCTGGTTGCCTCCGTTATCTTCTCTCTGTTGTATGATCTCTCCATTGGCATCTTTCCTTCTGCCCACAATCATTTGCGTGTCACTTTCTCAAAAGTGTTTTTCTCAATACAATTGGCCTTCCTAACCACTGACTTTTTAATGATCCGACTTTGGTTTATTTATTTATATGTTGAGCTTTGAGACCTTTTCATAGTTTGTTTTTCTCCCATTTAAAAAAAGTTCCGAACTTAACAGACATCAATTAAAGTGAGCACTTCCATATACACAGTAGAATAGAGAGGGTTGTACATGAAACTGTAAATCTTTATTAAATATAGCTTGCTTTTTCTTTTTAAGTATATAATAAATTCAGTGTCATTTTCAAAGTTGTCCTGCTTGTTTGTGATTCCTTTTGTCCTCGTTTGTGTATCTAAAAAAAAATGCTTCAGTGATCTACTTTTTCTTTCTGGAGGCGCCGTTTAGCTCCCTTCTCCCTCCCTACTCTTTGCCTCCCCCTGCCAATCCCCCAAAAAAAAATTGAGAAAAAAGTAACAAAACCTTTGTGACAAATATTCACAGTTAAGCAAAATAAATTTCTGCAATGTCTGTGCCTGAAAATGTGTGTCTCATTGTACAATGTGATTCCCTCTCCTCTATGTCAGGAGGTGGGTAGCATGCTTCATCATTAGTTCTCTGAAATCATATGATCGGTCCTTGTATTGATTGGAGTTCTTTCAAAGTTGTTTGTCTTCACAATGTTATTATTGGAGAAAGTGTTTTCTTGGGTTCTCTTTACTCTGGTTTAGTTCATACAGGTCTTCATAAATATCATACTCAGCTCTTCTCTTTTTCATCTCCAATATTTAATCTGTTGCCACGTACTGTCAATTCTACCTTCCTGATATCTCTCATAGAAGGGGGTTTCTTTCTTCTGATACTGCCCCCACTCTAGTGTGGACCTGCATCACCTGAAGTGCTGTGATGATAACTAATACAGTAGTAACCTTCTAGTTGATTTTCCTGCTTTGAGTCTTTCCGCACCCTCCATTCAACTGCCAAAGTGATTTTTCTAAAATGTTGGTCTGTCTGTGTCACCTCCTTACTCAGTAAACTTCAGTGGCTCTACTACGTCAAGGATCAAATATAAAATGCTCTTGGCTTTTAAAGCCTTTCATAACCTGGCCCTTCCTACTTTTCCAGTCTTCTTACCCCTTACTTACCTCCACAAACTCTACAGTGTAATGACATGTACAGCTTCTCATCACCTCATACCTCGACTATTGCAATAGCCTATCGGTCAGTCTACTTGCCTCAAGTCTCTCACCATTCCAATCCATCCTTCATTCAGCCATTTGAAGTGATTTTCCTAAAGTCATGTCCAACTATGTCGCTGTCCTACTCAGTAAACTCCAGTGATTCCCTCTTATATCCAGTATCAAATATAAAATCCTCTTCTTGGCATTCATAGCCTTTCATAACCTAGCCCACTCCTACATTTACAATCTTATACCTTACTCCCTGATGTACTCTTCAGTCCATTGACAGGGCCGGAGGCAAGACACTCCATCTCTTCTCTCCAGGCATTTTCTCTAGGTGTTTTTCATGCCTGGAATTCTTTATCTCCTCATCTCCCTCCTGGTTTCCCTGGCTTCCTTTACATCCCAGGTAAAATCCCATCTTCTACAAGGGGCCTTTTGTATGTAACCTGTATATAGCTTGTTTGTATGTAGTTGTTTACTTATTGTCTCCTTGAGGTCAGAGACTGTCTTTTGCCTCTGTTTTTATTCCCAGCACTTAGTACATTGTTTGGCACATACTAAGTGCTTAGTAAATGTTTATGATTGACACTGACCTCCTTGCTGATTCCTTGTAGAAAACCTTCCCATCTTCCAGCTGTGTTCAGTTTCACTGCCTCTTCCCTAGCCCTGTTTCCCTCTTCATCTCTATCTTCTAACTTCCTTGGTTTCCTTCAAATCTCTATCTAAATTCTCATCTTCTGCCAGAAGCCAACTTCCCAGTCATTTTAAATGTCAGTCCCTTCCCTCTGGAAGTACCACAAGTTATCCTACATATATTTTGTTTGGATAAAGTTGTTTTTCTGTTGTCCTCCCCATTAGATTGTGAGCTTTTTGAGAGCAGAGACTATTTTCACCTTTCTTTGTTATCTTCAGTGCTTAGTAGGGTGCCTGAAAAGTAGTAAGTACTCAACAAAGTTTCCTGACTTGACTTACTAGGTTTTTGTGAAAATTAATCTCTCTCATCTTTTATTACATTGAAACAATACTCCATTACATTACTATACCATAATTTGTTCATTGATTCCTCCAATTGATAGGCATCCTCTTAACTTCCTGTTTTGCTAAAACAAAGAGAACTGCTATAGTTTTGTGTGTAGGCATCCTTTTCCTCTTTAATTCATCTCTTTGGGGTATAGAACTAGTAGTGTTATTGCTGGGTCAAAGAATATGCAGACTTTAGTGGCATAGCTCCAAATTACTTTTCAGAATGGCTAGACTAGTTCATAGCTCTGCCACCAGGACATTCATATTCCTGTTTTTGTAAAACAGCTGTCATTTTCCTTTTTTGGTCATCTCTGCCAGTCTGATAGGTATGAGGCAGAATATCAGGGTTGTTTTAATTGTGTATTTCTCTAATTATTGGTGATTGGGAATGTCTTCATGCGGTTGTTGATAGATTATATTTCTTCTTTGAGAATTGCCTGTTCATAATTTTTGACCACTTATCTTGAGGAATGACTCTTTTTCTTCTAAGTTTGAATCAGTTCCTTATGTATCTTGGATCTGAGACTTTTAATAGAGAACCTTTATGCAAAGATTTTTCTCCTGATTAAATATTTCCTTTGTAATTTTAACTGCATTGGTTTTGTTTGCTCCTAGTTATTGTTCTATTTCTCTTCTTTATTTTACTGCCAGTCTTAAATGAATGGTCTGTGTTCATTTCCTCACTTCCCATTCATTTCTTTAAATCTCATGTAATCTATTTTTAGTTCTCAATGTCCCCAAGCCTCTTTCCCCTTCTACTTGTTTATTTTTCTCCATGGTACTACTACCCTTCTTCCTGTTGCCTGAGCCTTCAGAACCTTACAGTTACTCCCCTCCTTTACCCCTATGCCTGATTAATAACTAGGTCCTGTTATTTCTCTCTACTCTTTCTACCATACTTCTTCCTTTGCTGCCTTTACCTTAGTTCAAGTCTTATCACTTTATATCTGCACTTATTGTAGTGGTCTAAGTATTCTCCCCACTTATAATTGTTCTTCTGTCCAAACCAAAACCAGTTCTGTATACTAATGCTGTATTCATCTTCTGAAAACACCATTTTGATCGTGTTACTACTGTGTTCCAGAAATTCAAATGTCTCCCCATTACCTACATGATGTAGATCAGACTCCAAGTCTAGTGTTCAGGGCTCTCCATGATTAATCCCAACATTCTTTTTCTAATCTTATCTCCCTTTATTCTCCTTCACAGATGTTCTGCTTTAGTCAGATCAGTCTACTACCAGTGTATTCCCACCTCTGCACCTTTGTGCACACTGTTTTCCTAACCTGGAATGCCATGTTCCTCCTCCTGTTCCACCCATATGAATTCCACTCAGTCCTTCAAGGCCCAGCTTAAGTCTCACTACCTCCCTGACACCTTCCCTGAACACCCTGCCTGAAGTGATCTTTCCCTCCTCTGAAATCACACCACTTTTTATCTCTTAAGACATAAATAAGTAAACAAACCAGTGTCTCCACGTCTAGAATATTAGATCCATGAAAGAAAAAGCTACACCTCCTTCTTAGTTGTATATCTGCATGTAGCATTTGGATACAGTGTGGTATAGTGTCATGGCCCAGGTGGGCAGCACAGCTCATGAGTGCTGCCAGAACCAGATTCAAATGAAATGGGGAAATTTTTAACAAAATGAAATACAGCATGGATAATGTTAACTTGTGATTTTTCTAAATGAACGTGTAGCCCACCGGGACCCATTTCTCTTTGAGTTTGACACCTCTGGTGTGGTGAATGGAGAGCTGGCTTCAGATCCAGAAAGTGCTGAGTCCCAGCCTCATGCCTGACATGTATCACCTCTGTGGCTATAAGCAAGTAATTTAATTTGTCAGTGCTACGGACGACTCCAAGACTATAAGTGACAGAGAAGGTGTCAACTTGAATTGGTAGAGGGAGTTTTCTCATTAGGATGTTCCCTGTATCAAAGAAATCATAGCTCTAGCTTTATCCCTATATGCTATACCTTAAATACTTCACTAAATCATTGTTGAGTAATAAGAAAATTATTTTCAAAGAGCTATACAACAGAGATATGCCATTGGGAATGCTCTGTTAAAAACACATTTTAACACATCAACTCTGGACCTACTTGTTTCAGTGTCATCGTCCTCTCTTGCCAATCCACAAGCCATCACAGACCTGCAAAATGATCCCATCATTCAGAAATATGGATATGAAAAAGTAGGTTTGGTCAGATGCCTATTGACCAAAGAAGAGATGAAAAAATTTGACTTTCCACTCCAAGGTTGGTTGAGATTACCATTGGCATGGTGATAGAAGTAGAAATATGTAAAGATAAGAAAGTTATTTTAAAAAACTAGAGAATTAATGTTTGATCTTCTTAACCACTGTCTATAGAATCCATCTCCACCCATTCTCTTTTATCAATAATAGTGGTGCTTTAATAGAACTTGGAAGCTAAGTCCATAGGGACATGGAACAAAGTTAAACCCTGAACGTTTTTATTCCTGTTTTTAATTCTGTTTAGTCCATGTTAAGTCTCCTTTTTATTCTGGGAAGAAGTGCTTTTATAAGCCTGTTCCTTTTCTGTGAATACTAGCATAAAAATTCACTGTGGTGACAAATGACAATGGCCAGAAAAATTACACTAGCCAGTATTTTCTTAAATAAAGGGGGAATGTTTATGCTTTTTGTTGGTGTTTTTAAAAGATGGACAGACTTTCCCCAGAAGCCACTGTTTATTTTATTCCAGGAGTAAGTGATTTGTATGATGCTTTCATGACCAAAGTGTTGCAGCTGAGAAATCAGGTAGAATGCCATAATGACAAATGTAAGGTGACCTTTCAGAGCCCTAAGGGTACTAAGGGTAACACCAGTTGCAGCAACAGGATCCAGTTGTCCTTGCTAAATTCTGTGTGCCTCTTCTAGACAGTTGAACATCATCATCTCAGTAATTTTTTGTATAAACATAGTTTTTGTTTGTTTGTTCATCTCCAGGTTTGGCTAACTGTAAAAACTTTGTTTCTACTGAATGTGTTGGTCCAGTAAGCGACAGCAGCCCCCTTTTTGGCCTAGACTGTGAAATGGTATGAGATGAATCTCATTATTATAATGTCTGCTCAGAATAGATGTTGCCATCTCCAAGGACAGGATTCACTCATGGTAGAGTGAAACAAAGCGTTTTTGATCAATTCAAGTTTAATGCAAAGAATTGGGTTTCCAAATCTGTGTTTATGGGGCTTGGGTACCAGAAACACGAAGGTCACAGCATGGTAAAAAGCACTAGACCTAAACTCAGATCTTCTGACTCAGAATCCTGGCACCACCACCTACTAGTTTTATGACCCTGGGCAAGTCTCAGAGCCTCATTTTCTCCTTTTTATAGTTAAGAATATTAATATTTATACTACCTACCTCATGGGGCTATTGTAAGCTATTATGAATGCAAATACTTAAAAAAAATAAAAACAAACCACCTTGGTGCTGGTTTCCAGCAGACTTAAGTCTATTTTTTTTGGTGGGTATTTTTTTTTTTGCTTGGCTTTTTTTTTCTTGGCAAGGCAGTTGGGGTTAAGTGACTTGCCCAGGGTCACACAGCTAGTAAGTGTCAAATGTCTGGGCTGAGACCGGATTTGAACTCAGGTCCTCCTGACTCCAAGGCCAGTGCTCTATCCACTGTGCCACCTAGCTGCCTCCAAACATAAGTCTATAAGTTACATTAGTTGTCTAACATTTCTGTGACATATGAATTATTTACGTATAACCACAAGAAGCATATTTATTTCTTTTTATCCTTTTGACAGAGGGCTTTCTGTTTTATGATCTCTTTACACAGTTGCCGGTGAGGCAGTATTGTAAAGAGGGTGCTGGCATTGGAGTCAGGAAGAACTGAGTTAAAATCCTGAATAGAAATAGCTTTATAACCTACCTCACATGACTATTATTGTTATTATTATTACTACAAGAGGACATTTTTACAGCTACAGAATAAAGAGTAGAAAATAGTCCTGGACCCTTTTGTATATGATGTGTGAGTCCCCAGTTCCCATTACAGACCAGGCATCTGCTTTCTCTGGTGGGGAGATAGCATCTCTGCATCTTTTTCCTATTCTTTCCCTAACATAGCCTTTACAGTGAAGTTGTGTCGTGCTGGTTTTCATGAATGTAATTTTCAGAAACCCTTGATTTGATTTTTCCCACCTTGATATCCACAAAGTAAGTAGACCAGGTCATATTTAGAAAAGCAGGAAACAGTGGCCCACAAGGCTACAGCAGCCTGACTGTGTCTTTGGTTTTTCAGTGCCTTACACCAAATGGGAATGAACTCACACGAGTTTCGTTGGTTAATGCAGAAGGCCGTTGTGTCATGGATGAACTTGTCAAACCTGACAACAAGATTCTGAACTACCTCACCAGGTGAATACCTGCAAATTGACTTGTAGCTTTTCCCAACCCAGGTCAGATTAGAATTAATGGAAACTTTTATAGGAAGAGGCCTGGAGCTTCTGTGGAGTTGCATGATTTAGTTTGCCAGGATATAAACGTCCATCGGGAAGAAATTTGGACTGCACCCTGTCAGTTACATTTCTCTACCAGAAGTGCTTTGACTCATTTTCAGATGTGTAACATTCTTATACTTTTCTCCCTATAATTCTCTTGTGAACTTAGACCAGTGGGAAATTGCTAGTATCTTTGCCATGGGATCTCATAATAGTCATTCTAGCATTAGATCACATTAAATGAGACTGTGCCATCTAACAAGATTACTTTTCTGGAAACTTGAAGTTCATCAGATTGCATGCAGTTCCTGAGTTGATCTTAAAGCTTAGCCTGCCGGTTAGAAAAAAAACAAATTTTCACCAAAAATATCCAGGATCAATACATGTCTGTCTTTCTGTTCAAAGATTCTGAATTAATGTATTGAGGCATGTGCCACATAATGTGCTTAATTTTGGCATTATCAAAGCATTCTCAAAAAGAAAGTGGACAATGAAACATTTTTGTTGTTTTGTCCATTGAAGATGTACTTGTGAAAATGGGGGGGATCATGAAGGCTGAAATTGTACATAGAGAATAGCAGGCTGAAGAACAGAGCCTTGATAGGTCCCTGCATTTGGGGATAGAAAAAAAAAACAACAAAAGAAGCAGTGAAGAAAATGTGATTAGTCAGAGAGGTAGGATGGAAACCATGTAGTAACATGAAAGCAAGGGAGCTAAGTGTTTCAAAAGACTATCCAATATGTAAGTGTAGACAACAGTCAAAATTTCAGAAGCAGCCTTGTTAGCTGTTCTTAATTAGCTGCAATGACTTACATTCTCTTTAATAAGTACAGTCCCTATGGTCATAATGCTTTCCTCAGGAAACATTTCAGGATTGGAGCTGGGGGAATGGAACCAGCTACTCTCACAGACTCTACCTTTTTGTTTTTATGGAAAGGTTCTCCGGCATCACACGGAAGATTCTTAAACCTGTGACCACAAAACTCAGAGATGTCCAGGCCAAGTTAAAAAAGCTGCTTCCACCAGATGCGGTGTTAGTGGGCCATTCCTTAAATGCAGACCTTCAAGCCTTACAAGTATGTACCTGTTTGGGGACTCCATTTTTCTGTTACATCCTGTTATATCCTCTTTATTTTCTTCTACCTTTCTCACCTCCCTGACCCTTTCATTTACCCATTATTTTAGAAGGTTGAAAAAGGGTTTTATTTTCCCTCTACAGATGATACATCCCAATGTTATTGACACTTCATTGCTTTTTGTCAGAAATTTGGGACGAAGGTTTAAGCTCAAGTTCTTAGCCAAGGCTGTTTTAGGGTAAGTTTATTACAGTTTGAGTTCTTTTACACTACAGTAGTTCCCTGTGATTGACATGTTCAAATAGGGCAGAATATCTCTAATCATGATTGTTGCTCAAATTTACAACTCTTTAAGGTTTGTAAAGTGCTTTAACATACATTATCTCATTTAATCCTTGTGCCAATTTTATCCCCATCTTACACATAAGGAAACTGAGGCTTATAGAGGTTAAGTGACTTGCCCAGGTCACAAAGCTAGTAAGTGTCTGAGGCAGGATTTGAACCAAGTCTTCCTGACTCCAGCCCTGGTGCTTTGTCTGCTGTACAATGTGCTTCATGTAATGAATTGGAAATATACACCTCTCAATTTGTATTATCTTTTCTGTGACTTATGCTTAGTGCCGTATACATCTCTTGGGAGCCCTGTAGGGTAGACAACACGGAACTAAACTGTGATTGAATTGGATGGAAAAAAAAGTATCAAAGTTGACAAAACATTTCAAAATCCCACCATTGTCAGCCCCTAAACTGTGACAAGCAGCATCTATTGACATGCCTGCTGTAGATGTAGGCCCTTTTAGTTATTTCTGAATCACTGAGATTCCACGTGCAGCCAGAAAACACAGGAAAAAACATCAGCCGGAGAGAGCTACACAGACATGGGCCTTTTATGCCAAGTGTTAGCCTGTGACTCTGAGTTAATAAGCTCTCTTTCACTCTTACTTCTTTAGGAAAGAAATACAGTGCCCTGACAGGGTCGGCCATGATTCTACAGAAGATGCTGTTGCAACCCTTGAACTGGCTCAGTATTTTATTAAACACGGCCCAAAGAAGGTTAGTACTTATAATGTACTTTAAGTCTAAGTAATATTTACATGCTTTTTTAAACTAGAGTGAAATTGTAAATCATTATCTCTTTTTCTTAAAAATTGACATGCACATGTTTTGATTTTATGTCACTTTAATTTACCAATATATTCCCTCCCTTCTCTTCTGTCTCCCAGAGCACTATTCTTTATCAAAAAGAGAAAAAATAGTTCAGCAAACATTATCCGCATGTCAACCAGATAGGAAATTTTAGGTAGTGTTTCACTCCCATAGTCTCCTACCTCTGGAAAAAAAAGGGGGGGAAGGAAGAGCATTCTTATACCTGGACTTTGGGGCCAGAGTTGGTTGTTATAATTACATGTCATTTAGTTTTGATTTTGGGGGGGGTTGTTCTTGCCATTTACATTGTCCTAGTCATAGGTATTATTTTCCTGGTTATACTTGATTTTGCATCATTTCCAATGCTTTTCTATATTTTGCATATTCATGATTTCTTGACTCACAGATTCTATTCATTACATTCATATTCTACAGTATGTTTAACCATTTCTTACTTGGTGGGCATCTACTGTCTCTCTACTTCTTTATCCCCAACAAAAAGTAGTACTGTGTTTTCAATTCTTTATTTCTACTTTCTAATTCTATACTACTACTACTACTACTACTACTACTATTGCTACTACTACTACTATTACTACTACCCACCACTACCACCACCACACCACCATTCCCACTACTACTGCCTTGTTTCTAATGCTTTGCTTCTACAAAAAATATTTTTGCATATGTAGGACCTTTCTTTTTGTCATTGGCCTCATTGGAGTATATATCTGGCACTGAGATCCCTGACTCAAAGGGTATGGACATTTCAGTCACTTTCTTAGCATAATTCCAAATTGCTTTCCAGAATGGTTAGAGTAATGTTCCATTCTACCAGCAGTGTATCAGTGTGCCCTTTTTCCCACAATCCCTCTGAAATTGACTATTTCTGTCTTTTCTTAATTTGGCAATTTGTTAGGTGTAAGCTAAAATTGAATTGTTTTGATTTGCATTGCTCTTATTAGTTATTGGAAGCAGTCTTTCATATGATTTTTAAAGGTTTTTAATTCTTTTGAGAACTATTTGTTCATTTCTTTTAACCATTTGTCCATTAGGGAATAGCTTTTGGTCTTATGGATTTGTGTTAGTTGAATTAATCTATGAAGAAGCATTTGAGAAGCACTTATTATGTGCCAAGAACTGGGGATGCAAATAGCAAAAGAAGACAGCCATGGAGCTTACATTCTAATTTAGAGAGACAACATATAAGGAATTTGGGGGCAGCTAGGTGGCACAGTGGATAGAGCATAGGCCCTGGAGTCAGGAGGACCTGAGTTCAAATCTAGCCTCAGACACATAACAGTCACTAGGTGTGTGACCCTGGGCAAGTCGCTTAACCTCATTCCCTCGAGAAAAACAACAACAACAAAAACATGTAAGGAATTTTCAGTCGAGGTACAGAGAAAGGATGGGGGTCAACTAAAAGTCCCAGGAGTCCTTATCCTGGAGGGGACTGCCCCACTGCCATCATTGAGAAATGGGAAATGGATCTGACAGCCAGTAGAACTGGAATTCTGGGTTCCTTCTGGCATGGGGTGGAATGAAGGGTCAGTGTTTGGGCAGTGGACAGAAAAGTGTAACTTAAGGGCCCAGGGGAGGGGGAAATGACCCCTCATGGCTGGCTAGCTCTATTGCTCCCCCTTTTCTCTCCCGTAGATGTGTTTTGTGTGTGTGTGTATATGTGTTATGTGTAGTGTGTATAGTGTATGTGTATACATATGTACCTAGAGGTCATTTCTTATATATCTTGGATATCAGACTCTTACAGAGATATTTGATGAAAATATTTTTCCTGTTCAGCTCCTCTTGTTCTAGTTGCATTGATATTATTAGCATTAAAATATTGCAATTTAGTGATTGAAATGATCAGTTTTATCTTTTGTGTTACCTCTATGTCTGCTTCATCAACTTTATTTTTTAACTAGGATAGAATTTTGAAAAGGTGATTTATGTTAACCACAAAATCTGTCTTTAAGCATTTTTCAGGAACCTCAGGATCATTTTCTTGATCTTAGGAGTAGCATTTACAGTAGACAGATCAGTCAGAGCTGTTTAATTATTGAACTCTTCTCTACATTTCCTAATAGGACATACTTGAAGGCAGGGAGTATTTAATTTTTTTCTCTGTAAATCTCAGGTCTTGGCACAAATACTTTTTTTTTAATTAACAAAAATTTATTTTCTCTCACTTCTACCTGTCCTCTATTGAAATGGAAGAAAAATAAAACCCTTGTAACAAATAGTATAGTCAAGCAAAGTAAATTCCTACATTGGCCATTCCCTCCTCCTCCCTTAAATAAGAGAGAGGGGGGAGAGGGAGAGAGAGAGAGAGAGAGAGAGAGAGAGAGAGAGTGTGTGTGTGTGTGTGTGTGTGTGTCTCGAGTCCATTCCTTCTCTTTCAGGAGGTAGGGAGTATGCTTCATCATGCTGCTGTTATGTTAAGTCTTTCAGAGTCATTTGTTTTAACAGTGTTGTTCACAAAAAGAAGCAAAAGATAGTCTCTGCCCTCAAGGAGTTTACAATCTAATAGGGGAGACAACATACAAACAAATATATACAAAGCAAACTATATACAGAAAAAGACAGTTAACCGAAGGAACAAACTGGAATTAAGAGGGGTTGGGGAAGGCTTCCTGTAGGAAGTGGGATTTTAATTGGGACTTAAAGGAAGCCTAGGTAGTTGGATGGAAGTGGAGTTGAATTGTTCAGAAAGTGGCATGGCAGGCTGGTTCTGAGCAGGAAAAGGTGAAAGCTCATCTGTAAGAGTTAGGAGACCAGGGCCAAGTCCCAGGTGGTTGTGGTGGTGGAAAGCTGAGGGTGATGACCAAAGGAGAAACAGTATGATGAGGAAGTGTCATGTAGGCCTGGTCCCAAGGAAAAATAAGGTGAAAACCCCCCCTTATCAGATACAGGGACAGAATGGGAGGATGCTCCTGTTGTTTGTTGAATCAGGTAACAAGAGTCTGCCTTATGATGCAGTCTTGCTGATGCAAGGGCAGGAGATGCAGGCACACTCTATAAAACCAACCTGGAAAGTAACATTGCAGGTTTTAATGATGCTCCATCTTGTACAGGAAATAAGCACATTTGACAGAATCCATGGTTGTGTTTCCACATAGAGCAAGAAGGTGTTTCAATGCTGACTTTTGAGAAGGAGCTTCTAAACTACACCATTGGGCACCTAGATCTTTTCCATTCCTCATATGGGGACATTTTTTGTGTAGACAGTTTATCCTCTTTCTGCTCCATTTCACGCCTTGTCAAACCAAGTTGTACCTCAGTACAAGATTAGACCGACAGCATGAGGAGAACTAATAACAGTTAGAATAGGGGCTTAGCCAAACTCTGTGATAATGTAATTTTAGTGACCAAGAAGAGATGAGAAAATTCACCTTTCCTTTCTTCTTTATAGAGGTGGAATGTTGCATACACTGTCAGGCTTGCTTGATAATGTTGGGTTCTTCTGAGCTGCTTTTTTTACCCTCTTTTTTCCGTATTTGAAGGGGTGGCTCACTGGAGAGAGAGAGAGGTATTCAGAAGCAAAGGATGATATAAAAATGAAAGAAACCAATAAAATTTTAAGAATGGGAGTTTGGGAATCCAGAGAATTTTTAGGCTAGACACAAATTTGTATCTCAGAGTAACTACCGAGAACAGATAAGTTTTAAATGTTATAAATGGACAGAGTGGCATTTCTAGTACTAAACAAAATAAGACTTTTCTTTCTGAAGCTATAAAAATGAGTCTACTAAGGATTTCATTATGTTTTCCAAAGGAAGCCATTTCCTCTCCCGGAGACTTGGTTGCACATTCAGTGCAAAAATACACTTTAAGTGACTAACTATAGAGTAATAAACGAGCCAGCCAAAATTGGCATCCCTTTTCACTGAGCCGTGCGTTGGCATTTCCTTTACATATGTGACAGAATGGGCTTTTTGTGACAGATTGGCATCTCTAGTTAGGCAAATTAGAAACCATCTGTTGAGTTGTCAGCCCAGCATCTGAAAAAGGAGAAGCATCCATTGAACCTTTCTAGTTTGTTTTACCCTTCCTTCCCTCCCACCCCACTCCCACTACCACCTTTTCTTTTTTCTTTTTTGCCTAAAAAAAAATGCAGCCTGTCTAGCTGAAAACTATTCTATAATAAACACCCAAGAAACTGGTGGGTTTCCCACTCTTTCTTTCCTCAAGATTGCAGAGATGAAGCTGGATACAGCAGTTAACTCCCAACAATTTCTGGCAAGTCCAAAACAGAAAAACACATTGCCCTTGTGCCCCAGTGGACCCCATAAAGAAGCAAGACTTCCAACAGATGCAACATGGCAGAAGAATTCAGGGTAACTTTTTTGATCCTTAGGCAAATGGGAAGAAGTAGAATGAGGGTGGAGATTGCTTTCTCCTCCATGTCATTTCCCAGTGTATTGAGAGGCAGGTTTTTGTAGTAGAAAGGACACTGATTCCAAAGGACCCACGAATAAAGTATTCCATTCACCTCATAACGGGGAGGTGGTTTTGGACATGGCCAGTGTGGGGATTTGTTTTACCTGACTAGCATATTTGTTACAAGGGTTTCTTTTTCTTTTTTCTCTTCCTCCAGTGGCAGAAGTGGGAGGAAGAAGGGAACAAGTGGAAAGATGTATATTAATTGAAAAAAATAAAGAGCACAGGATTTGGAATTAGTGGACTTAGGTTGACATCTTGATTCTATTATGTACTGGCTTTGTGACGTTGGGCACCTTTGTTGCCCTCAAACTAGATGATCTCCAGCTTTAAATCTTATGCCCATAGAGTTATTGCAGGGTACTTAAAATGTCATTACCTCCTGGAAATAGTTTCTTAAAAGATCATCCAAATTCATGTAGAATGACTTGGGCAGAACCAGTAGGACAAGTGAACAATGACAACAGTAATGTAAATGAAAAGAATTCTAAAAGAGAGCCAAACTGAGCAACTATAATCATCAATTTGGCCCTAGAGAACAGGTCCTGAAACATACCTCTGTCATCTTCTCATCAGAGAGGTGGGGCTACAGGGACATAATGTTGCATGCAGTGGCAGACACCATCACGGCATCAGTAGTTTTTGCTTAACTATTTTTCTTTTGTTGCAAAAAAGGGTTCAGTTCTAGGAGGAGGAGATGTATTCAGAAATGAATGCCATATAAAAAAGGTATCAGTAAAAATATTAGTTCAGTGAGTGTGTTTTTAAATACACTTTGTCCATTGACATCTAATTGTTGTTCCCAAGTTATGTCCTACTCATAAAGTTACGAATTCAAAAGCATTGGTATAAAGGCAAAAGAAAAACTAGTAAGAGACCACACTGGCCATGCAGCAGCATTATTTAATGCTCTTTTCCCAGGAGCGTCATTTATAATCAGGTCTGCCTTAGTCCTGGTCACGTTGGCTAGATTGCAGATACATGTCAGTTCATATTTTGCAAGGAATTTTGATACAGGCAGTAACTTACATGTCTTTCTGGGAGCTGATTAAGTCTTCAGAGGGATATTCCATTCCTCCTCCCCATCTCATTGTCATTCTTTCTCTCTTAGTATTTTAGAGTGTTTGGACTTGGCTGGTCAGAAACTACTCTTCCTGTCCCATAAGGCAGGTGGCAGCACACTTATGTCTTCTAGATTCTGCCAAAGTATTCTCTGTACTTCTGATGAGGAGGTAAGTGATGTGGACTCCTTGTTAGAAATGAAGCTTTTCCAGAGTGAGAACCTCCCCCAGAACACTTCATGTATCATAATGAAAATGATGATAAATCACCCAGAGTGCTTTACATAGACTCTCTTATTTGATTCTCATGACAGCGCTGTGGGGTGTGTGCTATTATTTGACAGATGAGGAAACTGAGGATCAGAGACATTAAATAAATTACTTGCCCAGGGTTGCCCCACCTGTGCATGGCATGATTCAAACAGCCTTTCCAGCCTCAAAGCCCAGTACTGTGTTTACTCCTCCACACTTCCTCTCTATGTATGTATATATTCAGATAGGCAGCTTTTTACCCTCTCAGTGACAGTGATATGGCCATGAAAAGTAGTTAAGGTGACATGAAGGAAGATTTCATGTCAACACCCAGGTCTTACGTGTATTTCTTTTAGCTCTGCTATCCCAAAATATGTGTCAAAGAATTTGTTGAACATGAGAACACTTGTCATTCTGACTGCAAAAGTAGACAGTAGCCATTGCTTTCCTTCTGGGGGATTTGAGAAATGTAAATAAGCTAGAGGATTCACTCTGCTATCGTGGGGTATTATTGTTTTTAAAGCCTTGGACATTTCATCTCAGATAAAAAATGGTCAGGGTCCTTTGACCCATCTCCCCCATTCCCTACTTCCCAGTGCCTTGTACTTCTTACAGGTTCTTGAGCAAGCCCAAGCAGAGGTCCCTCTGTCACCTTTCAGTGTCATCCAGTTCTCACAGTGGCCACATCCCCTTCCACCCAGCCTCACTGTCGAGATGCATAAAAAGGTAATGCTGAACCACACTCTCTTGGTGCTAAAATCTCATCAAATGAACCGATGCATCTTCTGAAGATGACTTTGGGGCATTATTCTCTCTGTATTGTTGCTTCTCCACTTTGACCTCTTGGGTTTTTTATCTTGTTTTTCCCGTAGATCAAAGTCAAGTGGGCAGAAATGTCAACTGTCTATGCAGGGCCTTTTGGGGGAAGTTTCTGCCTCAAGCCTCTGAAGAAGTTGTTTGCAAGCTTTGGCCCTATCCATTCATTGGAAGTCATTCTTGAAACTGATGAGGTAAAGAGCCGAGAGAATTACCCTTCAGCCAGTACTGGAACAGATTGATAGCCACAAAATGAAACCTCTGATGGAGATGACCTGTGTACTTTTCACAGATAAGAAGCAGTGGTCTTGGTGGAAGTGACTTTGGGTTTCGATTTTCTCTTCTATATGTCCAAAATGAAATGATGCAGATTTAATGTAGCTAGACTACAAGGAATGAGTTTTTGGCACTGTTTTTGTTATTCCATACTTTGAAAAGAGATCCTGTTATGATATCAAGTCAAACCACATCTGGAGTGTTAAACATAACTGCCTCCTTACAATTGGAGCTATCTAAAAGTGGAATGGGGGGCAGCTAGGTGGCCCAGTGGATAAAGCACTGGCCCTGAAGTCAGGAGGACCTGAGTTCAAATCTAGCCTCAGACCAAATACTTGGCACTTAATAGCTGTGTGACCCTGGGCAACTCAACCCCAATTGCCTAAAAATAAAAAAATTTAAAAAAATTAAAAATTAAAATTAAAAGTGGAATGGACTACCTCAAGAGGTGGTGGGTGCTGCCCCCTTCACTGGGCAATATTTAAAGGCTAGATCACCATTTACAGGATAGCTTTTTCAGGTCCTGTAGGTTGAACTGGATGCCTCTGAAGTCCTTTCCATCTCTATAGTTCTGCAAATTTATTGTGGAAAAAATGGAAAAAGAAAAAGGGTTTTGAAAATAATCTTTAGAGCGAGATCTTTCCTACCTTGAGAACAGACTATATCTACTATGCTTAGCTTGATGGTAGCTACACAAAAGCGTTAATCTCCCTGATTTTTGGATTAAAGCCATGATTTCATTGGTGTAAAAACACTCTGGCAATGTAGATTGTCACTTGCTCTGCATTTTACATAGTCTGAGAGAGTTGCCTCGGGCACTGAGAGATTAATGATATATTCACAACCAGAAATGAGCCAGAGGTAGGATTTGAACCCAGGTCTCCCTAACAGTCAAGTCCAGCTCTATCTAGTGCACTACACTGCCTCTTTCTCTGTAGTTTACCACTGTTTTTGTTACTGGAAGAAGAAACAGCAGCTTGAATAATTACAAAGAATCAGTGACATTTGGGGATTTGAGTGGAAAAGCTCCATACAGCAAGGAAGAGGTATTTAGAATGCCAAGAATGTTCCTTTCTGATGGCAGCCGTAGCAACTCTAGTCCTGCAGAAAAAGCAGCTGCCAAAGACTAAGGGATTACAGTAGCTGATCCGGACCACTGGCCCCTGGTCATTTTTGTGAGTAGCATTCATGTCTGTATTGCTTTTATATTTGCATGGCATTTTGAGATCTATTATCTCATTCTGTCTTTATAATCATCCTGTGAAACATCATGTCATTATTATTATCCACATTTTACAGCTGAGCAAACAGATTTTGTGAACTTGGACACACATCTATTAGAGGGCAGAGCTAGGACTCAGACTTTCATCACATTTCATGATTTCAGTTGTAATTTTCTTTCCCCTGTTCCACACACCCTTTCTGGTACTAACTTTTCAGAATCAGAAGATAAAGTTTAGAAGAGGTAAGATTCCAAAGCTAGGGATTGGGATAACAAGAATTTTCATGTATACCATGAATTCACAGAACAGCTTCTGAAAACCCTTGAAAAAAATAATTCACCCTTAGAAATGATTCATAAATAAAATAACAATAATTATAATATCTAACATTTATATAGTACTTACTGTGTGCTAGGCATGTGTGTATACATGTACACACACACATACATACATAACAGAGAAAAAACCTTCCTTATCACCTTGGGAAGCCACCAAGCTAAACTATAACTACTTCAGCTTCAAGCATTTTTAAATATTTGCTTTCATGTTTATGAGTACCTCCCCTTCATCAACATAAACCTACCCCCTCTACAATTTAGTAAACAATTTTCAGTCCTGTGGCTTCACCGGGGATGTCTGTCTCTGACCTCAGCTAGTCCAGTGCTTGATGACAGTGACTTAAGTCCATCAGATGGTGTGCAACAACAAAAAAAAACCGATCTGAAATTGCACTATCACAAGGTAATGTTTTAAGGGTGGAAGCTAAATAAGTGATGCTGAAGGATGACAGTTGGAGAGCGGAGGATTGTGAGCGTTTTAGTGAATGGGGAGAGAACCCTGAAGCTGGGAATCAGACAAAAGTAACAAGAGATGGGAGAAGGCCAGCAGTGGGCCATATCACTTCTTTTTTTTTTTCCCAGGCATTTGGGGTTAAGTGACTTGCCCAGGGTCACATTGCTAGTGTCAAGTGTTTGTTCTGAGGCTGGATTTGAACTCAGGTCCTCCAGACTTTAGGGCTGGTGCTCTATCCACTGCGCCACTTAGCTGCCCTATAATACTTCTTTTTGACCACTATTTTTCTGTTTGTTTCCCACTCATTCTCTACTCCTTGGGCAATGTTTTGATAGGAGGTTTCCTCAAGGAAGGGAATTATTCTGCCACGGTTCATTTCCTATTGAGGATTAGCAAACTTGCATTCTGACTTATAAATTAGTCTCATTCAAATTTAGTTAATATGACTCAGTTTCCCCAATTTTAGTCATGGCTGAGTAGAATTATACAGGTCTGTAAAACTGGGTTTTATAGAGTTGAAGACCCAGAATGTGGAGTATGATGACCCCCTCAAAAACAGGCCAGAAAAACCATCAAGCTCTGCCCATAATATTATACTACTTATAGTTGCTCTTGGTGTTCTTGATCGACATGATTCACTGAGAATCTTTCCTTAGTTCCTGCAGTGAAAAGTGGAGGGACAGTCATGTGAAGCCTAGAAGCAAAGTTGATTCTGAGTGTCTTTTCTTTTTGCAGCCCTATCTTTGCATCCGGTATAGAGTACTAGAAGCTGCCCAGCTGGCCATAGAGACCTTGAATGGTGCATGTGTCCAAGGGGTCCGGATCAAGGTAGAGAGCACATGAGAACTGCTGAATGAAAACAGGAAACAAGACCTATCTGCATGCATTCTTTAGGCAGTCTTTAAGAGCCAGTTTTGGGGAATGCACACTGCTGATACAGGTGCCACAGTGACTCACATAGTGTGGTGCTCATTAATCCTAGGTCAGTTCTGTGTGAAGACACAGAACATACATGGGAATAGGTATCTTGTCCATTCCTGCCATAGAAAAATATCAGTAGAGTAAGAAAATTAGCAGTCCTCTTCAGAAATGGAGACTTTGATCAGTTACCATAGTCCTGGTGGATAGTATTTTGGATTTAGAGTCAGGAATACCTGTTTTAACTTAATTCCATGTGCATTTGTTAAGTACCTATTATTTGCTGATACTTACCAGCTTTGGGACCGTGGGCAAGTCATTTCAGTTGAATTTCAGTTTCTTCATCTGTAAAATGGAGATATTATTAGCTATAGGTCAACCTCACAGTGGTTGTGAGGCTCAAATGGAAGTATTTTGAAAATATCAGCCATTGTTATTACTAATTACCAGGTTGAATATGTAGTTGTCTTCCTTGTTACTTGTTAGGGCCCTGAATGTTTTGCTCTGAGTGGCTCTTTCTGATTGGATGGAAAGAACCAAATGTGGCCCTTTTTACCCTTCAGCCTAATAGAAGATAGTAGGGTCAGCTGGGCAGCCTTTGAAAATTGCTTAAGTCTGATGGGTGAATGGGTGAAATTAATATGTCAGTCTTCATCTTGTTCCACTCCAGGTGCAGAGGCCAGTGCAAGAGCTCACTTTGGACTGTGACACCATGGTGAGTACCCTGGAGACAGACCCAGAGAACGAAAGTACCATCTATGTGAATGGAATGAAGGAGAGCTATACTGAAGAGGACATGTCCCAGAAGTTTAATCTCTTGCCCAGTCTGGAAGCTGTCTTCTTGCCTGTGGATCCTCAAAGCAAAAAACACAAGAAGTATTGCTTCCTGAGTGAGTGTCTGTCACTTCATTTGGCCTTGGAGGGGGTCAGGGATGTGAGGAGGGGCAAGAGGAGTGAAGAATATTAATGACGGTGTGTCTAATGAGGAGAAGAGGTCAGTAGATGGAAGGCAAAGAGCCATACTGAAGCGTGACCCACACAGAAGCCAGTGGTTTGGGCCTGATGAATTTTGGCCTCCTGAATGCCAGTGTTTTCTGGCTGCTGTTAATATGTTGTGTTTTTATTTCCAGAATTTAGAAGCTCTGAATGTGCCCAGAATGCCCTGAAAATTCTGCAGGGTCCAACTGGCCTCAACTGGAAGCTGGTGTGCAGGAGAGCCCTGACCCCTAGCCACCTCCACGAATGGATTTGTCACTCCTGTCCTGACCCAGGAAGCCCACAAGCATCTGATGTTGTCCCACTAGCCTCAAAGGAAAAGTCTCCGTTGGTAAATAAGGTTACTGATGTCCTTGGTCTTCTGTTGGTTAGACCTCCTCAAGGGTGGGTCACATCTGCAACCCAGCTAAATGCAATTGCTACAGATCAGATCACAGACATCCTACTCAGTTACCTTTAGCTGTTCTGTGTCCTAGAATGGCCCCTCCATTGTTTTCATGTCTTTGTACCTGTCCTCACTCATCATGCCTCTCTCCTAATGCCACTGATTTCCCTATTGTCTTCTCTTCCCACCATATTCCTTCAGTGTGTCTGTTATTGATTTCTGCCGGTGAAAGAATGAAGAGAGTTGACAGGCTTCTCTTTGCAGAGTGAAAGTCATAGAATACCAGAGCCCAAAGGACCCTCAGTCTACCCCACTCATTTTACAGATAAGGAAAGTGGACCTAGAGAGAGGTGAGGGTTTCGTGGAAGGTTTCACAGCTAGGACCAGGACTAAGTCTTCTTGTTTTAGTCAAACAGTGCTTTCTGCTTCACCATAAAGAATGCACAAAAATTTTCTGCTAGTTTCTCTGCCGTCCTGATTTGCCAAGGTCATTGTCTGTGATATGTGCAGGCTGAAGTGATCCTAAACTGGCCCAGAGTGGGAGAAGAGGAAGAGACCCTCTTGGTCTCAGCTCTGGTTTTAGCCTCTCAGCTTCAGAAAGGCCCAACACCCTTGTTATTCTGCCCATACACAGTGTTTCCATCTCTTTTCCCCCTTTGCCATTGGGGAAAAGACTTAATACTAGCTAGATGAGGGCATCCTAAGCCCCAGAACTTATCTCTCTTTCTGATGGGCTTGCCCAGTCACCACAGGGAGAAGAACTGAAGATAGCCATGAGTCGGTTAGATGAGAGGATCGCAAAGCTGCATGGGAGGCTGCCACCCCACACTCTGTGCCTCGTCCTCCTGCCAGGAACAGAGAGGTAAATGGGCCTGGGAAACCGTATTCAATGGATGAACCACCAAGGCACAACTGATGTCCCTGTCCATCATTTACTAAGTGTCTCCCGGGTGTCAGGCAGAGCTAGGCACTGTGAAGACAAAGAAATGAAACAGCCCCTGTCCTGAAGGAGCTGACATTCTATCAGGGAAGATAACAAGTACATAAATAAGTAGATACAAAATAATACAAGTAGATACAAGTAAATTTGGTGGGGAAGGGATAGAGATAGCATGGCACTAATGGGGGAGTCAGGAAAGGCTTCATGGAAAAGGGGTCACTTGGGCAGTTGGAGGGAAATAAGGGATTCTAAGAAGGGGGAATGAGGTAAGAGGGAGTGCATTCCAGGCATGGGGGGCTGCCAGTACAAAGCTGAGGAGATGGGAGATGGAGTGTTGCATGTGAAGGCATAGCAAGAAGGCTGCCAGCAAGGCAGGACCATGTGGGGTAAAGCTGGACAAGCAGGGTGGGGCCTAGGGTTGAAGGAATTGATATTCGATCCTAGAGGCAATACGAAGTTTATTAAACAGGAAAGTGATCATTCTGGCAGTTATGTGTGATTAGGAGGCAATTGCAGTCGTCCAGGTGAGAGATGTGGAGGGCCTGGGTGAGAGCCATGGGAGTCACAAGTATTTGGAGGTAAATAACAGTTCAGCCATTGGTTGGGTATGTGGGCTGAGGGAGAGTAAGCTGTCAGGGATAAAGCCAAAGTGGCAAACCCAGGTGAGTGGAAGGATGGTTGTGCCCTTGTCAGAAATGTAAAAGTTCATAAGAGGATGAGGTCAGCTTTGGACATGTCCGATAACTGCAGGACATCCACTGTGAAAGATTTAGGAAGCAGATAGAGATGTAGGACTGACACTTAGGAGATAGATGGGCTGGATGTGGTCTGCATAGAAACAATAATTAAATCCATGGGAGAAGATATGGTCCCCAAAGGAGAAAAGAGAAGACGGCCAGGGAGGAGCTTTGGTGTACATCACAGTTGGGGAGCATGTTATAGAAGATGATCTAGCAAAGGAGATTCTCATCAGCCTGCACACACAGAGAGAGAAAGAGGCATTGGGGCTAGGTTCCGGTGACAAGACAACCTCAACCTAGCAGAGAACTTGTTCTCCTAAGGCCAATTCATTGCTCTTTCAGGCAGCTGATTGCCGTCCTTTATCGCTTTTCTTATGTAAAAGGATTTAAGGGTGGTGTTTTCTCCACCCCAAGGCAGAAGGCTTACCCCATTACCATGAGCTAAACTTCTGCAACCAGCCCCACACTGAGGGGCTTTTTCTCTTCCCTCAGAGACATAGTTTATTCCTAATTTAAAGACAAAGGTCCAGACCCTGCATCTCAAACCTCAGGCAGAGGTTCTTCACATTTTTTAAGGTGACGGAGGAAAAAAATACCCCCTTTTTTCCCCCTAGGCCTCAGAAAGTAGGGGGTTCCCCCACACTGGAGGTCTTCAAACAGAGGCTGGATGACCAGCAATTGAGACTACTCTAGAAGGGATTCCTGTTTAGTTAAGAAGAGCCAGACTCAGTGGCCTCTGAGGTTCCTTCCTGAACTGTCAGCCTGTGTGGGTTGGTAATAGTGAGGGTCCGATGGGACCAGGTCCTTTGCTCTGGCCACTAGGGAGCACCATCCCCTCACAGTACATCAGGAGTGTTTTGTATGAGCAAAAGAGGAAAGGAGGGAGAGAGAGAGAAAGAGAGAGAGAGAGTGTGTGTGTTTTCTCTCCTCTAGGAAGGTGGGAAAGGAATGGAGGTTTTCCTGTTGAATACTCCTGTTTTCTATCCCCAGGCCATACTTGATGCAGTCTGCCCCCATCCAGGTCCCTTTCCCTCCTTTTTCTAAAAGCACCTTCCAGCCTCACTCAGGCCCTGTCAGCCCCCAAACTTTTTCTTCGTTCACATTCATATTTCAACAGCTTCTCTTTCCCAGTCCTAAGTTTGCCAGATCGGCCATCCTGACAAGGTCTGCAAGGTCCCAGGCATGCCATGTTTCATGCAGGAGTATAGGACCCAGCATGTCCCATGGTCTGGAGTGACTCTAGCTAGACTGGGTGGCATGGTGCATAGACAGCTGGCTGCCACTCAGCCCAGGTTTAGAAAGGAAGAATTAAGTCATTCTTCATCTTTTCAATCCCTTTTACTTCTTCATTCCTAACTGGGAGAATAAAAATTCTTTGTGGCCTGGTTGGTACAAAATTTCAGATTTTTATTGTAGTGCAACAGAAAAAGACACTGTATTTAGGACTTAGCTTCAGGTTCCACCTTTGTCCCTCTCTGTGTGACCTTGGATAAGTCATTTAACCTCATGTAAAGTGAGAAAGTTGGACTACATTGTGTATGAGGCCCCTTTAATCTCTACACCTGTGATCCTTATGGGAAGTTCTGTATGCCTGCTCATGATCTCTGCTGGACTGGTAGAATTCAGACTGCATATATACAGTAGAAACAAGTATTACACAGGATGTTTTTTGAAAAATTAGACTGATGTTCTACTTTAAATAGGCTACAGCTATCAAGGAGGGACAGGAGGAAGATGGTATTAAGAAAAATGTACAGAAATTACACAAAACATACCTCATGGCTAAGGTGACCTTATGGGACTAAATAAAAATTAAACCACTTGCCTAAGGAAATCTTTTCCCCATTTTCAGCCTTTAGTTGCTTTTTCTGGTTCCCAAGGATGTTCTAATTACACATCTTACAACTGGATGGACCCTGTTTCCATTTTATAAATGGTGCCCAGAGAGGAAGGTGATTTAACCAGGCTTAGGCCACTAGCTTATGGGAAGATCTGTTTCCTGGTTTGCTTTGACCTTTTTAATATTTCACACTTGGAGAAAACATTCTATAACATTCCACCACATCACACTAATCACAATTTTTAAATCATTTCTCTGCTTTCTATATAAAGCCTTTAAAGGTCCATGCCACAGTACTGGCCCAGAGTCCACATTCGGTAATTACTGGTGATCCTTACAGAGAGCTGAGTTTGCCTTTCAAGCCAGCAGCAGCAGCAGCAGCTCTTTTTCCACCCACAACTGAGTGAATAGAGATTATTCAGAACCCAGATTTCCCTTTGGCTTTAGAAAGCAAAATACTCAGAGTGACTCTGCTCTTTGCCTTGTTTTCCATTTTCTGCTTTGCTATTAATTAGAGCCCCTTGGCCCTCTCCCCAGCATAACCTTAGAACCAAACTGTTGAGCCACAATTCTCAGCATTCACCCAGAGGGAGCTTTCTTGGTGGCCAAGTATATCATACACAGGTCAGAAGAGACAAAACTGAAATTGGATCTACCTGGAATACCATTCTTCACCCACTCAGCCGGCAGACAGCACCAGCTTTGGACGTTGACCTTTGTAGTTCCAGCTGGTACCCTTGATCCTTTTATCCCCGGGATCCTGTGTACTCTCCCTCCACAGTGGTTTCAGAAACTTCTCATCTTCTGATTGAACAATAAGTTCTTTTCTCAACCCTTTTTTCCCATCTGTCAGGTTTTCCTACGTTTTCTATCTTTAATGTGATTTTAAAAATATTTATTGAGCATCTCTTGTGTGCAAAGCAATCGTTCTTTAGCTATTAGTCTTCCAGAACCCAGATAACCAATTTATGTTCTCTACTTCCATTCACTAGGTGAAGTTTGCACTCTTTATACCACAAAGCCTTAGTATCAGTGCAATGATTTTTGAAGGCTTACTGGTACTAATGTAAGCTGTCTAGTCCTATGAGAAGATCAGGCTTCCTTCAGACTAAAATTTGCAATTTTTCTTGTTTGTTGCAGTGTTCGTGGATCATCCACTGGCCTGGGGCTAATATCAATAAATGGTGATGATATAAAAAGTGCCACCCCAGAGGTGCTTTAGTGGGTCGCCAGCCAGGACTGACAGTTCCTTTCCTGCTATTTCCCATTCCACAGCACCACCTCAGCAACATTGGAAAAGAAGAAAATGCCATCTCTCGACCTTCAGGTGCCAGTTGCATACACATGGATGGCACAAATTGGGGTCTTGGTGAAAAGCAGGCAAACCCTTTTAACATCGGTTATTTCTCAGTTTATGAGAGACATGTATTTTGTGAGACGGTGGCTATAAGACAGATTTCTGTAAAGCAGATCCTTTCATGAAATTGGATATCTGTCCCAAGGGGAAAAAAATCCAAGACTTGATACATACACCTTTTGAAGAAGAAGGTATTAAATGGCGGCCAGATCCAAGGTGTCCGTGGCACACTGTGCTGTGGGAATGCTTTTGCAGTTCTCTCCTAACTCAGCACAACCTCATCCCCATTTTTGGGTGATAAAAATCTCCAGACATGGGAAAAGGATTTTTCCCCATTTTTCTCTACGATCACTTCATTTGTCTATTTACAGTCTCCAGTAGAACTTGGGCTACAATATTCCACTTCACTAGCGGGTATCTCCAACTAAAACATTTTTAACCTGGGATCCACAGACCTCAAAGTGATCTGTGAACTTGGATTGAAAAAAAATTACATCTTTATTTTCACTAACTTTGGTTTCCTTTGTAATCCTTTGTATTATATTTTATGCATTTAAAAATGTTCTGAGGGTTTAACCAGAATTCCAAAGAGGTGAGTGACAAAAAAAGGTTAAGACTTATGATCTAACACCCGATAATCTTCATCCTGAAAATTTCTTAGGTTTATATCAAGTCAACTAAAAAAAAACTCAATGTCTACTTTATTTACCTAATTCTTTAAATTGGAAATTCGATAAAATAAGCTTCTGTTATAGTGCCTTGCACATAATGGGCACAAATGTTTATTCAATCTACGACCATTTATTAAGCTACTGTATGATGATAATAGCTAACATATATCACTGTGTACCAGTCACTTTACAATTATTAACTCATTTGATCCTCACAAAAACCCTGGGAAGTAGGTACTTTTATTATCCTCACTTTAGATTTGAGGAAACCAAAGCAGGCAAAGGTTAATTGACTTATGCAGGGCCAGATAGCGAAATAAGTCTTTGAGGCCAAATTTGAACTTGGTTCTTGACTCCAGGCCTGTCACTCTACCCACCAAGCTGCCCAGCTGTGCTAGATACTAGTGATGCAAGTAACAAAGAATGAAACAGTCCCTGCTCACAATGAGGTTACATTCAGATGGGAGAGGCAATAGGGAACTATGTGACTATATATAGCATAAATATAAAGTGAATAAATACAGATATATACATTAAATATAAGGTAATAGGAGAGGGAGGATACTAGCAGTTGGGAGGACTTGGAAAGGTTAGACATAGAAGATGGTACTTGGGCTGCATCTGAAAAGAAGAGAGTAACTTTATGAGGTGGAGGGATGGAGGGAGTGCATTCCAGGCATTTGGGTTGGCCTGAGCAGGCTAAGGAAGTTGTCTACACTAGGGAGTCACGGTCAAATCTGTGGAAAATTATTTTGGTTACAACATAGGAGTGTAGGAAGCTATTACAATAATCTAGGTGAGAAATGGGAGGGGATGTGCACATATAAAGTATAAAGGGTTGGCCTGGACAGGAAGAAGGGTCACCTGCCACAGACTAAGGAAAAAGAATGGAAGATGATGTTGAAGTCTTTAGAGATTAAGAGAATGGGAGGAGAGGGATCTTGTGTTGGATGCTCTCTTTTTTTAGTAAAGGCAGGAGTATTCAAGGGAAGGAATAAGTGGGAGATTAAAGAGAGGAAGAAAAGGTTTAGGGTTGCTTCTGTGAAGAAGTCAGGAGGTATGATGAGCTAGCAGAAGATAGTGAGGAGGTGTGAGCCAGATGGAAGGAAAGAGTGTACCATGAACTCCAGAGGAGAAGGGTGGTCCATAGTGTCATTGGAGCAGACGACAAGGAGGATGAGGTTGGAGGAAAACAGAAAAAAAAAGTTTGTAGGATGAATCCCACTGTAAGGGACGTGTGATAAAGTATGAGAAACACAAGGGCAAAAGAAGGATTTTTTTTCTTCTCATGGATGGGGTGAGATGGGGAGAGGCAAGGAAAGGCAGGAGAAAAGAATAGGGAAATCCAACCAGACCCATGATCAAATTGGTCTAGGGTACGGTATCTCATCAAGATCAGAATTGGGAATACTGCAAGAAAGCTACTGGCCCAAGGTTGTTCTAGACCTGCAGTTTGAATCAGGGAAACATCAGAAGACTGTCAGAATGCTTACTAACCATTCCTGGTTGTCAGGTAAGGAGCTAAAACTGAGCTAACTTAACTAAGGGGAAAGGGGCCAGTGAGGGATGGTCAGGGGTTACTTCAAGTCTTATTATGCACCTACCTGTGTATGAGGCACTGTTAACAGGTATAGAGATACAAAGACAAAAATTAAACTGCTCTCATCATCAGAGAGTTTACAGGGAAACAACAAAAATCCTGCATCTCAAAACTACAGGGACTGATCAGATCCCTTGCTTAGGGCCTTAATGTTATAGTCTATTCCGTGCAGATCCCACCCGTTAGGAGCCAAAACTGCCACTTGGACTCTTCAAAAAGGCACATTCCATTCACAAATGAGTTGTGTTCCTTTTTTCCTCCCACGCCCTTTAAGCCAATTTAAAAAAGCCAAGGCTCTGCAGTCAGTCCTAGCCAACACAGCTGCGATAGAACCAGCTCCTTGTTTGGGTGGGGAGGTAGGGTGGGGAAGACAACTTTTGGAGGCACTGTGCATAAACATTTCTTGTTCCCCATATTTGGCTAGAGAAGCCAAATGCGTTGGTATTTGTTGTTTTCTAAATCTAGCACATGGCCTTGGGCACGTAAAAAGAAAGGTGCAGCTGAAGAGATTATTTCTTTGGCACCTAAGTAGCAGAATCTAAGTTAGTCAAAGCTGTAATCTCCCCTTTCCAGTCCCCTATCATCAAAGTCAGTAGAGTGGCCAAGTTTGCTGTGATCTGCCCATCTGCCAAAGCACCTGGCAGACTCACCTATGAGCTCATGGTCCCCACGGCAATCCTTCAACACAGAACAGTAAACAAAGCGGTTGCCGTTTGGCTGCACCTCCTCCACTGTGAGATGCCATACAGGTAGAGCATTCACTGTGAAAGGGCACTTAACTAGGGGCCCATTGGCTGGGTGTGTCTACTGCTTGAAAGGCCAGTGGCAAATTCCTGCCACAGCACCAAAATCAAGGTCAAAGTCATGATACCTCAAGCTGTCTGTCTCCTCACCTATAAAATGCAAATAACATTTGTATATAAGTCATAAGGATGTTTAGAGGATCAAATGAGAACAATGTGAAAAGTTCTTTGTAAGCTGTGAAGTGACTGACACGTCAGCTATTATCTAAGGAGCCAAAGACCTAGATTCATGTCCCACTTCAGACACATCATTTAATCTCCCTCTGTGCCTCAGTTTCCTCATCTGTACAATGAAGTACTTTAGGGTCCCTTCCAGTTCTAGACCTAAGAGCCTATGATCTTTATTATTATAGAAGGACCACCGATAACTCAAGACACAGTCATTCTCATGACAAAATTACTGAATCACTTGGTAACAAATGTGAAATTTATTCCATATAGGACAAAAATCCCTTCTTGCCTCACCTTCCACCCTAGACCAAGTGATTGCTGTTCAGAGCCTACTGAGCCATTCCACTTTGGAAGGCTCCCTAGATACAGGGGAAGAGATTCTTTCCATTCACTGTGGGCTTGAAGCTTCTAATAACCAAGGTTTACCCTCAGGCTTTTTCTTGCTTAAAAAAAAGTCCAGAAGTGTTCCATTATATTGTCATTAGGGTCAGCTGTTAATCAAGGAAGGCAAATGCTTCTTTTCTTTCTCCTTCCCATTTAAACTGGATTACAATTTAAAGTCATCTGTACAGTGTGGTAACAAATCTTGGAATTACCTCCATTGTGCTAGGAAAACACTGAAAAATGGAATTTGCCAGTTCAACATGAAGCAAGCATCAGTTTATTCTAGTGAAGGCCTTGGGTTTCTGTAGCTGTTATTCACAAATATTATAGGAACAGAAGTGCCAGAGTTATGAAACAGATTCAAGTCTAAAAGCCAACTGAGAAAAAGTTTCCAGGCAACATCTTCAACTATGGGGAAAATACTAAACTATAAGAAGACTTCTAGTTTTGATGCTGAATTTGGGTTATGTAAGGGGATAGGGAACTAAGGTCACATGGGGAAAAAAGCAGCCCACTAATAATGTTCTCATGTTAGGAAACACTAATGCCAACCCTGTGGCTAAAGCGAAAATTTAGTCTCTAACTCCAGAGCCCATTAAAACAACATAATTTCAGTTTTGTGAGGCAGAGATGGAGCACCATACAGGAAAGAGCGTATTTAGGGGAGGGCAAGATCTGTAATGAGTAGATAGGCAACACTCCTCTACCCCTCCACCCCCACCCCTAACCCCCCCGATGGAGAAACAAAGCTGTTTCATATTAACAATCCAACAAAGGGAACTCCATTTGCTTTTCCCTTCCTGGACCACTAGTGTCAAACTCAAATAGAAATTGGGGCCACTAATCTGTACATAAGGATCCCTGCAGGAAGCATATTGACTTAGTAGTTTTAAAATGTAATGTTTTCTATATTTTATTGTATTTTTATTTTGTTAACTATTTCCCAATTACATTTTAATCTAGTTTGGGCCAAGCCTGGCCTCAGGATCCAACAACAGAAACATATACCTCCCCCCAAGACTATGGTGTTCTAAGAATGAAACTCTATAGAGCCACCACCCACCAGAAGTGACCAAGGCTGGCCAGGATGATGACACTTAAGAGTGATTTCATTCATTGTAAAGGGACCAGAGTCCAAAAGGACCCCCCATAAACAGGACTATTTTTCTTAAGTATATGAACTGCTACCTCTCCCACAACAGTCTAAACATCATGGCACTGAGTCGATCCTGGGTTTTCACCCTAAAATGATTGCCTCTACATTAGCCACAGGGAGATGAATTTTCCACTTATGACAATTCCCTAAGCCTATCGACCAATTCAGAGAGGGGTGGCAACGTGTGTCATTCCAGCAATGGGACAATGAATGGGAAGAAAACAGAATCTGTAATCAAAAGATGTGAATTTTGATAAAAATCCTTTTACCTGAGTTTTGGTTTCCTCTGTAAAATGAGAGAGGAGTAGGCAACCTCTAAGGTCCTTTCCCACTCTAAATCTATGACCTTTGGGAAGATCAACACACTGAAAGCCACAGATCCTTGAAGTTAGAAGGACTGAACAGCTGCTAGCCATTCCCCTTCTTCCCCCACAGGCTCCTTTTTTTTTTTTTGGTAAGCCCAGAATTCAAAACACAACTTTACTGATTGTTCTGCATCAATGGCAATGATCAAGTAAACAAATTTATTAAATTCAACAGCAGGTAACCTTCAAATAAAATACATTTAAGGGGAAAAATAGTGTAGACACCAAAGACAAAATGTGTAACAAGGTAACAAACATTAAAAAGGGGCCATTTGAAGAGTGCAACAATGCAGAAAACACAAAAGGTAGCTTTTCAACAGTTTATACAACCTTGAAGTAAAGGATACA